CAGATTTTGATCAGATGCCTCAATCTAAGATAAATAGGACAATGAAAAAGAAAATAGCACAAAAATTAATAAAGAATCAAAACGAAACAGAAAATTATTTATCAAAAACAACATTATTTAAGGAGTACAAACCATAACTTAAATATTCTATGCACAAAATCCTAAAAAGAAATTACCTTCATACTGGTTTGAGTTTGAGTCCTTTATAAATTTGTTGACTTCCCTCTATCTCTTTGCCGTTTCAACTCAACTATTGCATTTAAATTATCTGTATTTAATTGTTTGTCCGGACACTATGAAAAAAATTCCTTTTATGTGAAATTAATCTAAACACAGCCAAGTGTTGTTATTGGAACCATATTTTATTAGGTAATTTTTAAAGCAATCCCATTCTTTTTTAACCTTTTCTACTGAGTTGTTTCATATTAACTCTGTCATTTTGGCGAGTTCTTAGTACTCGCACAACTTTAACTGCCATTTGTCTTTTGTTGATGTTGACTAGTTTTTCCAATATTTTGCTGCTTTCCAGTACTCTGGCTGCTGTTATCGCATAAAGAAACACTCTTTTACTTTTGTTTGGGATGCTTATTGTTAAAATGCCTAATAAAAACTCTTCTGGTTTCTTTAGGAATGTATATTTTAGCTTTTTTATAAAATTCCTTGTAAATCATGTCCCAATTTTTTTAAATCAGGGGACAAGTCCACCACATGTGGAAAAAGGTTCCTTCCTGTTGTTTGCATCTCGAACACTTATTGTTATTAATTTTATTTATTTTGGCTAATTTGGATGGGGTTAGGTACCATCTGGAGGTCATTTTCACAAAATTTTCTTTAATCAGATAGCACGCTGTAAATTTTAAGGTCCCCCCCAGTTCTTCCCATTTTTGCATTTAAATTGGGTATCTGAAATCTTGTGCCCACTTTACCATCACTTCCTTCACTTTCTTCATCTTTCAAATTCCAATCCTATATATATATATATATATATATATATATGATAATATATTTTTGATAATATCTTTCTATTATTTAATAATAATTCTTTCTCTAAATCTGATATTTTTGTATCAAATCCATTCTTTTTTTGTCTATTTTAAAGATTTCATTTAGATGATAATATTGTAACCAACTTATATCTGTCTCTTTTAGTTCTTCATATTTCTTAAGTTTCAAGTTGGTTGTTTTCTTCCTCTAATATTTCCTTATATGTTAGCCAATTGTTTTCCATAAAAAACATAAGAGATCTTATCAAACTATTTAAAAAAAGAGGGAAATGTTTATAAACGAAAATAAAATGGAATAAAAACTTGTGAAGGATTAATCCAGAAGAGGTGCTATGCATTGGCAAGAGGTTCATGCTTTTCCAGAACATTGCAATCTGTTCATTTGTTCATTCATTTTTAATTTCCCCAATCCATCTGAAAATGTTGGGGCGACCTTGAGAGCATTTGCAGATGACTTAGTATTGACGTTACAGGAGCCATAATTTGGTACCAAAAGAGTTTTAGATCTGATTCAAGAATTTGGTCAAGTTGCAGGATTTAAGTTGAATAAGTTAAAGACCAAGGTTTTAGAGAAAAATTTAACACCAATGGAGAGAGAGAGGTTTCAGAATGAGACAGGTTTAACAGTGGTTAAGAAAGTTAAATATTTGGGGATTAACATGACAGCAAAAAATGGGAACTTATTTAAAGACAACTATGAAAAATGCTGGGCTGAAGTGAAAAAAGATTTGGAAATTTGGTCAAATTTGAAGCTTTCCCTGGTGGGCCGTATTGCTGCGGTAAAAATGAATGTATTGCCTAGAATGTTGTTTTTGTTTCAAACATTGCAAATTGTGGACAAAATGGATTGTTTCAAGAGATGGCAGAGAGATATTTCTAAATTTGTCTGGCAGGGCAAGAAGCCTAGAATAAAATTTAAAATATTAACAGATGCAAAGGAAAGAGGTAGATTTGCCCTGCCAGACTTTAAACTTTACTATGAATCAGCAGCTTTCTGCTGGTTGAAAGAATGGTTGCTTCTTGAAAACACTGACATTTTGGATTTAGAAGGTTTTAACAATGTATTTGGATGGCATGCATATCTGTGGTATGATAAGGTCAAAGCACACAAAGCATTTGAAAATCACATCGTCAGGAAAGCATTGTTTAATGTCTGGATAAGATACAAGGACTTATTGGAAAATAAAACTCCAAGGTGGCTGTCACCGATGGAAGCAAAAGCTCTGAAAAAGCTCAATATGGAGGCCAAATGGCCGAAATATTGGGAAATTTTGGAACAAGATGGAGATAGACTGAAATTGCAGAGTTTTGAGAAATTAAAAACAAAGTGCGAGACTGGCTTCATTATTATCAGATAATGGAGGCATACAATTTGGATAAGAAAATTGGTTTCCAGGTGGAAAAATCAAAATTAGAAACAGAACTATTAGAACCCAAAACTAAGATTTTGTCAAAGATGTATAACTTGCTGTTGAAATGGAATACTCAGGATGAAACGGTGAAATCTGCTATGATTAAATGGGCACAAGATGTTGGTCATAACATAATGATGGCCGACTGGGAACAGTTATGGACCACAGGTATGAAGTTTACGGCATGTAATGCCTTAAGAGAGAATATTATGAAAATGATCTACAGGTGGTACATGACCCCAGTCAAGCTTGCAAAAATCTATCATTTGCCCGATAACAAATGTTGGAAATGTAAAGAAACTGAAGGTACATTCTTTCACCTTTGATGGACGTGCCCAAGGATTAAGGCTTTCTGGGAAATGATATATAATGAACTGAAAAAGATATTTAAATATACCTTCTTGAAGAAACCAGAGGCCTTTCTCCTGGGCATAGTCGGCCAATTGGTGTCAAAGAAGCATAGAACTTTTTTTATGTATGCCACAACAGCAGCAAGAATACTCATTGCAAAGTATTGGAAGACACAAGATCTACCCACTCTGGAAGAATGGCAGATGAAGCTGATGGACTATATGGAACTGGCAGAAATGACTGGCAGAATCCGAGACCAGGGAAAAGAGTCGGTGGAAGAAGATTGGAAGAAGTTCAAAGATTATCTACAGAAATACTGTAAAATTAATGAATGTTAGAATGATGTTGGATAGAAATTAAGTGGTTTCTAGCTGTAATGCTTTAAGGGAATATGAAAAAGGGTTATTAAGAGGTAAAAATTTAATGTTATTATTTTAAGACCAAAGATTAGGAGAAATAAAGAGGGTAAGGATTTGCTGAACCAACAAACTGAACTGGAATACAAAAAAGGGAGGTATGAGGAGGTCCGGGAAACAAGCTAAAGAAAAATAAGCAATGGAAAATCTGAGTGTTTTTAATCATTTTTATTTTGTATGTTTTTTCTTTTTCATTTTTTATTGTAATAATTTAAAAAATCCTAATAAATATCTTATTAAAAAAAAGAAAATGTTGGGGCGACCTATCTGCTAAAAAATATTCTGTTGGGCAATGCAATTTTATTATGTACTGTATAGATGTTCTTAAACTTTGTGGATGTTATCTATAATGCAATGACATTGTTTTCAAAGTCTGTTGGTTTTATCGGTATCTTCTTAAAAGAAAAAATTGACTATTTTACGGAAACCACTTACAGATTTATTTATGGATTAAACCATGTATAGACTTTGTAAAATTAATCTGTACTCTTATGTGAGGGAGGGGCATGACCACCACTTGTGCAGAGTGTTGCCCGGGAGGATGAATATGCAAATGAGGAGCCTGGCAAGCTGGAATTGCGGATGGAGGGACGTAATGAGACCCGACAGAGAGACAGTGCCTTATGAGAGATGCAGAAGCAGTGAAGGAGAGATCACAGAAGGCTTGAGAGGAGCTGGCCGGGAGACTGACTAAGCAAACGGAGGGAGGGAGGTTGGGGCAAAACAGATGGAGGATCATTGGAGTTGTGCAAGGAAGGTGTGGGAAAGACAGAACTGAGGAGAGGAGAGGAGAGGAGAGGAGAGGAGAGGAGAGGAGAGGAGAGGAGAGGAGAGGAGAGGAGTTGCAGTGTAGTAACAGGAAACTAAGGAAGATGTTAAGGAGACAGGCTGCCAAGGAGGCTAGAAAAGGCAGGGAAGTGGGAGGTGATGCAGTCAGATTGCAGGGGGTTGTACCTGCCTCTGTGGTGAACCAAAGGAACAGCAACACACAGTGAAGTCTTAAATTTTTATTCTATACTGGAGCAGTTTCTCATCCATTGATCACCGTCCCTGGTGAAGCATCTCAGACTCCCTCGCTATTATCATTCAGGAGGAATATAAAAACCTTCTTGCTCCCTCTTGCTTACTCACCCTGGCAACCTTGGGATTATTAATTGTGAAGGTATGTGGCTTTTTAAAAGGGGGCTTCTTAATTGCTTATTAAGATGTTTTGCTTTGAACTGTGTAGTTTTGGCTATGGTGTATGTTGTCCTGGATTTCTCTGAGAGGAAGGGCAGGATAGAAATTGTATTAGTGGCAGTATTAGTCTGAGGGGAGCTGACTGCTTTTAGAAGGTTATTCAAATTGTTTTTAGAAGGTTTTTTTTGGAAAAGAAATAAGTTTGAATAGTATTGTTTCAATATTGGTGTGTTTGGCTGGGGCTGGTGGGAGCTGTTGTCCTACAACGTCTTGAGGGCACCAGGTTGGCAAAGGTTGGTCTATGCCAACTGCCCATGGCCCTCCAGAGTTCCTGCCTGGGCATCTCTCCCAGCCCCACCTGGAGATGCCAGGGATTAAACTTGGCAGCTTCTGCATTCAAAGCAGATGTTCTGCCATTGAGCTACCGACCTACACTGTAGGCTGGTGAGGAAGAGAGAACATGGGAAACTGCCCAATATTGAGCCCATTCACTGGCCCCAGCACCATCAACACTAACTGTCAGGGTTCATGAAAAGTCTGCATTTGAATCGCGCACATTTCGGGTGTAGTTTCTGCATAAAAATGACAGAGGGGTGCTGGGAGTTAGAAACATAGGAAGCTGCCTTATCCCGAGCCAGACCATTGGTCCATCTCACTCAGTGTTGTCTACACTGACTGGCAGCTGCTCTTCAGGATTCCAGGCAGGAGTGTTTCCCAGTCCTTTCTGGAGACACCAGGGTTTGAACCTGGGACCTGGCAAAGCAGATGCTCTATCACTGAACGCCTTTCCCCAAAAGTTGATTGAGTCTGTCCATCTATCTCAGAGCTTTCCGAAGTGTGTGTCGCAACACGTTAGGTTTGTCGGCTGCAGTGTGTAGGTGTGTTGCACGAACGTTCCCTGCACTCCTCCTGAGGCTGGGAAGGGATTAGTTTCACCTCTGGTTTGCTAGTAAAACTGAATTAAAAACATTTAACATTTATTTGCCTTAACATTTCTAAAAGCAGTTTTCTATAAAGAAGACATCACCATTAAGCACTTGTTGGAGTTACACATTGTCTGCCCTATCGATTTGCTGTTGTTTAGGGAGAGAGCTGTTTAAAAGGTAAAGGCAACGGAGACAGGCAAATCGTTCTTCCTGTCCCCAGTTGAAGAATTTCCCAATCGCCGAAATGTTTCAGGCTCCTGTTTCAGCAAAAAAATAAACTTGCTTCTTTCTGAATCATTTCAAACAGATCCATTGGGCTTACTCCTTTTTTCTCTTGCTCCCCCAACCCAACATTCTGCACCCAGGGTTGGCTACAATTGCATCCATTATGCAGAGCATGTTAGCTGCCTCCATTGGTGGATACTTGAATGGCAGTGGTGATGGCAGCCTCGCCAGCTACTCTCCTTCAACCCTCTCTCTGGTGTTTCCCATCTGGTGGAAGACAGAGCTGTGTTTACCACATGACCTGGCTTTCACCTGCCCAAACTAGCCTGCAGCCCTGAGGCGTGATGGTGGGTGCCAGTTTTGAAGGAAGATTCAAAGTGTCAGGTTTTTGTTTCTAAAAGGATAACTGGTGTCATCTCACTCCTCGTTACTTGATCCCGCAGAAATTATAGGGACCCTGAGAGTCATGCCTGGTTCTGTGGAGCTTTTATTTTTTTAGAAGCAGGCATTGTTACAGGATTCAACACTAACCACTGAAACAGAGATCTCTTTCCATAGCCAGAAACATGCTGTAGGCAACAAATGGTGTAAGAAATATAGTCTACAAGATTACAATATTTTCAAATTATTTTATTCCAGCAGTGATTTGTGCTCATTGCCTTATTTAATTTCAAAGCAAATTGGATAACACTACTGGGGTTAGGCTAGTACAAAGTGAGGAAATCCATGTTTTAAAGATCCGGGGAAATTGCAATGGGAAATTTCGATCTGATCACAAACTCATTTTTCAGTTGGGTTCACAATTTTCCCTAAGAAGAGGGCACTGTGTGTTTTCTTTTCCATAATTAGAAAGAGGTAGGGTCTGTTGATCTTAAAGATAGGATTAGGAGCAAGACCTCCAAACCTTGGTGAAAGCTCTATAACTGTGACTCCGGCGGCTTCAGTGCCACCCTCATGAATGTCCACGACAGCCTTGTGAATGGCCTGGAGGGAAATAGTGACATATTACTTGTCTTCATATGTGATGGAGGAAAGCCTACCATAACATGTGTGCTGGAAGGGTAACTAACTCTGTCTTCCATGTAAATATCCAAAAGTTCCAGGTGACTCTGGGTTCTAGGATTATGAATGGTAAGATCTTCCCTCTTTCCCCCTTCTCCACCTCTATTGTGCCCCTTATTTGCCTCCACTCTCCCTGCCCCTGCAAATAAACAGGGAGTTCCTCTACCCCCACAATCCTTTTAGACGCCCTTTTCTGAACTATCATGTCACCTCTTATTTATTTACTTTCATTGTCCCGACTTCTACATTGTAAGCTCTCCTATGGCTCAGTTGGTTAGAGCCTGGTGCTGATAATGCCAAGCTTGCAGGTTCGATCCCCACATGCGACAGCTGCATTGCAGTTAGTTGGACTAAATGATCCTGACGGTCCCTTCCAATTCTACAACTCTACAGTTCTACAATTCTATAGGCCGTTGCTTTACCCTATAATTGTTTCAGATGGCCTTTTCTGAACTATTTTCTAGTCTACAGTGTTTTGTTTAAGGTGTGGGGATTTGAATTGTATGTAGTATTCCAAATGTCTTGGCAACATAGATTAAGAATAATGCATTGCCATCACATCCACAAGATGACTCAAGACACAAATGTATGGAAGAAAGGGTATATTTATTTTTTAAAAATATAATGATTCTGAAGACCTGCAGAATAAGGAATCCACATTAACCAAAACAAAGTATAGTCTGGGCATGGAAGCTACCTAATGCAGGAGGGATGAAAGCTCTCCTTATTCCTGGGCATGTTTGCATGCATTGCCTGAGGCGGTGGAGACAAAGATTGGAAACAATCATCCCCTTCGCTCTGAACACCTTGGGTATATGAATTTGACAAGCGACCTCCACCTTGGCGTTCATCCTAATGCACATGCCGAGTGAAAGGGCACAAATAATAGTAGTCACAATAATAATGCCCACAACCAGATCATCTCTCATGAAATGCTTTTCTAAAGACCCCCTCACATACTTACTTTGGAAACTTTCAGATTGGGTTCCCCGGTAATTCCAGACAGGTCAGCATTCTTGTCGCTAAAGACATCAGTCACACCCATTCTCTGCAAAGTGTTTTTGACATCATAGGATCCAGAAATGGAAATTTTTGGAAGGTACAGGTGCATTTCTCTGATTAACACATGGACAGCAAAATCCAAACATTAAATTATGAGCGCAAATAATTTTGTTTAGATTACCTCCAGAAGTGCAAATAACATTGGTATGTACAATTAAACAGGGGCAAGTAGTGGATTTGTATGCTGGTGTATCAATAGCAGGGTGGTTTCTTTGCTCACCTCCTGCTTCTGTTATTCGTCTTCTATAGGAGCCTTTCCTAACCTGGTGCCATCCAGATGTTTGAGACTGAAATTGCCATCAACTTTAGTTAGCTCGTGATGGGCTGCCCAATCCGGAAGGCACCAGGTTGGGGGAGGCTGCACTTTAGCATCAGGGAGGACCATAACTGGGGAGAAATGGTGGTTATGAAGAACTGACCTCCATACAATGGATTTTTACTTTGTTCCAAAACAATACATTTATATTAAGTTTAAAATATAAATGAATTGGTTGCCAAACAACTGCAGACATTTGTAGATGGGACTCTACAATCCCTGCATCTCTCTCCTTTAATTCCTATAGTTCCAGACATGTCTTTTATATCACGTGAAAGCTCACATATAACAAGAAACTTAATGATTAAGAGAATATTTTGAAAATGGAATAAGCTGTCACGTGAATGCTGCCTACGACTATGCTTACTAGATGGATCAGTGGTCTGACTCGGGATAAGCAGCTTCCTATGTATCCAAGTTAGGTTTCAAAACTGATGACTCTTGTCCTGTACTGTAAAGGCATTATCTATAATAAAGGTAGCACTGTGCCAAACCCCACCCACATTACCCAAAATTCCTCATCCCTTGAGAAAGTGAGGGTGTTTCTTTCTGATTGTTTCTCATGGCCTGCTTGTAAAACAGGAGTGAGGAACCTCTGGTTGACCATATGTTTTGGACTACAACTCCCATCCTCCCTGACCATTGACTGTGCTGGCTGGGGCTGATGGGAGTTGTAGTCCAACAATATCTTGAGGGCTATAGGGTTTCCCCCCCCATTGTAAAAGATAGTAAGAAAAAGGGCACAAATCTCCACACTTCCATCCTCATGAAATGTCTCATAATGTCTCCTCCCACCTTCTCTGCCGCTCTTTTTCTTGGGGTGGTGGTGGTAGTTTTGTTTTGCCCTCTCTCCCCAAAATGGCCAAAGGAGAAATGCCATGGAATATCAGCTCAACAGCAGCAACAGTTTAATAACAGCACATAGGAGACTTACTCATATATGAAGGATCTTTTACATCTATCCAGAAATTCCATGCTCAAGCCATCCTCCACCTGCTTCATTTTCCCTTCATCTGGCAGAATGAACCATGCACTGGCATCTCCTTTGTATGGAATTTCCACCACTGAGCAAGACAGCTCTTCATCATGGAGGAAGTTGTAATAGCCATTTCGATACATTAGGTTGACTTTCACAGTTGTGTTTGCATCTACAAAAAAATCTTCTTCCTTTGTAAAGTGAGTGTTGAAAGGATATTTCCAATGGGCTTTGAAGGGAGAAAAGAAAAGAAAAGTTCCAAGAACCGAGTAAATGGATCGTGAAATTCATCAGGGCCATGGAGGACCATCTTTTTAAGCCTAAGGGCTTCAATTTCTCCTGGGAAATCTTCCAAGGGCAACATGTCAATGGTGAGTTGGGGCCAGAGGTAAAAATGCTCAGAGAAAGACTTCCCCACCGATCTCTCTATCCTTGATCCAGGGAATCAGGAGGTATTGCCACACCTCAAGGACACATTCCTGCCATGCAAATGCATGGAGGATGTGGAACAGGAAGGCTGAGGGGTGCAGCCTGGGGGATACGATTCTCTGTGTTGAAGAAAATACAGAGCAGGGCCAGTGGGAGACATGACCCTGAGGAAGGGATTATGGTCTGGGAAGAGTCCTGAGGAATGGATAAGGAAGTCTGGAGGGATGCATCTAGCTTGTGGAGAAGAAGTTTTCTACCCCTACACTAGTAAAGCAGAGGTAAGCACAGATCACATCTTATTGTCCATTAGAAGTGTCCCTGCTTCCATGTTGACCCTTTGTGATGTTGAACAAGCTGAAAGACCCAACACATAACCCAACATAAAAGAATGGGGAAGTCTCTCTACCCCCCCATTTCTTTAATTAAAAAACCCCCTATGATTCCATGCTATGACTTTCATTCTAGCTCAGAACCAAAACTCCCCTTAATTACTGGTAATTTTATTACACCTGCCTGTGTGCCTGTATGGCTGTTAATTTGCATCTACAAAACCCTTTTTATTCTGAGGATGCCTGAAGATTCTTTTTTATTTTTTATTTTATTCCAGTATTGCAATTACAAAAGCCAGTGGCAGAGCAAAGCAGATTAGAAGATGCCTGGAGATTTTTTTTTACAAACTCACAATTTATTTATCTTTCTTTCAACTTACCTTTGAAGAAGATGTAGTTCAGTAAAACCATCACAGTACTTGGATCAAGCTCATCAACCGCATGGGGTATTTTCCCATGAGTTTTGGCCTGCACATAATCATTTATTTGGGTTTTAGCTGCCGATGAATTCTGGAAGTTGGATGAAAAGGCTTCAGCTCCATACAAGGTTTTGACATCTTCCAGGAATTTCGGAAGTATTTTCAGTGGCTCATCTATGAATAAGGCGTTCCCTGTGTTAATCAGGGCCTTGTTGTTTGGATCATTCAGGGCACTGATGAGCTGATGGAATCCTTTGTGTATTTTGTGCTCTTCAGTCTCTGAAAGGTTAAAAGCAAGTCCTTTGTAAATTTGGCTTTGTGTTTCAGATTTGGCACCCAGCGTCAGTGCTGCAAAAGTGCTTGAGATGCTGACTGGAGAGAAGAAAATATTTTTGGCAGCTTCACCTAAAGCTATTTGTTTGTGGAATCTAAATGCAAAGTTGGCATTACTGGGAGCAATCTCATGAGCGTACGTCAAGTTCTGACCCTGTTCTTCTTCCACAGAAGGATGTGGGGGTTCAAATATAATTTTATCTTCATGACCTTCAGAGTCCTTAGGCTGTCCTGGGACGTGGTGACAGTGAACTTGGAGAACACTCAGTAGTAAGGAGAGGGAGATTAAGACCTTCATTCGGATTGGTAAGTATTCTTCGACAATGAAAATATCCTACAAACAGTAAAAGAGCCATTTTTAATCAAATTATTCTGTTCAACTCTGTTTAAAGGGCAGGAATTTGTTCAAGAATTCAACCCACTGGACATGAAATAGTGAGTTGTGCTAGTAATTCGCACAACATATTTCATCCATGGAGCATGTGAATAGAATAAGACATTTCAAAAGTTAGATATGTTGTTTTGGTAGGACAATGACATTTTAATAAAATGTTATTTCCATTTTCTTTTAAAAGATGGAAATAACATTTTATTAAAATGTCATTGTCCTACCAAAACAACATATCTAACTTTTGAAATGTCTTATTCATATAAAACATCTTTATGTTTCTGTTTCCTAACATGCATTCTAGAATGATCATAATGCATTTAATGTTTTCATTTAAAATATATGTTTGCATCATTATCAAATCATCTTCCGCCAAGTAAAAACCATTTGATTTTCTTTTGGAGACTTGTGCGAAGGGGCTGACTTTTCTTTTTCACGGAAGGTGGGGGAAGAGAGAAAATGGATGAAGACTCTTGTACTGTCCTGTTCCCATGCATAGAATTCAATAAAAGATAAACAGAAAAAGAAAAATGCATATCATACTTACAGAATTCTCCAAACGACACGATATTGGTCTATGCGACTCCTTTGTTAGTTACGCACCAGACTTATATAATACTTAGTCTTCAGCATTAACCATTAAGCAGAACAAACATGGATTATCAAAGGGTACAGAGAGCACAATGTGAAGCAATGGATTTTCAAGTGGTCTCTAGACTTTGCACAATGGTATCAGCAGCCAAGATAAGGGGTCCTTTGAATGGCCTACAAACCTGATGGCACCAAGCCATCTTGTGGCCCTGAGTCTCCCCTCATACTTTCCCAAGTTTTCACAGATGGAAATAGCTGCATTTCCTCATCTCTTTAGGTTTCAGGTCAGGGTGTGGGGATCCTCAGGCCTCTCTGTCTGGGCCCCCAAACTCTCTCCATGCTGCTCTCCATACTTCTCTCCCCACAGGCTGTATTCTTCTCTCTCACCGCCTGTTTTCTTGAAAGTTTTTGCTTGGCTAGAATGTGTCCATGAACTCTGAATGCATCCTGTTTATCTAAGTGGAGGTCAGAGCGGGATGTAGAAACTAGCCCACTGTACAAAGGTAAAATTTACATTTGTTTGTCTTCACTTTTGCTCAGTGCTTTTTTTATATAGGAAAAAAGGTGCCGGTACTTACCATAAAGTTCTTATAGTAGGTGCCACACTTTTAACATTTGACAAAAATTGTGCCAGTACTGCATGCCCTTGAGTAGCCCCCCCTCCAAGCACTGTTTTTGCCCGTGCTCTTTCCTGTTACTGGAAGGTGGCCCTCAGAAGCCTGCATAGCAGCCAATGTCACCCTCTGGCTGATCAAGGGTCCCATACCCTGTTTTAGAAAGTAACCTCTTTTTAGATAATTTTTCAAAAACATAAGAACATGAGAATGCCCTCCCTTCAGATGTCAAGGAGATTAAGAACTACATAACTTTTAGAAGACATCTGTTTTTTTTTTTAGAGAATATTTATTCCAATTTTAAAAATTACAGAAAAAGAAAAAAGTAGAAAAAGAAAAACAAATCACATACATCTTATATCAAAAACGAACAATACAAAGAAAAATACAAAAGACAAAAAATCACAATCAAAAAGTAACAAAAAATCAAATTAAACCTTTAGAACCTTTTTCCCATTTACTTATTTCCGTGACTTCCTCTCACCTCTCTGCTTTGTATTCTAATTTAAATCGTATCTCCAGCAAATCCTTCTAACCTTCTTTTCATTAACTTATTTTAACATTCGAAAGTATTAATTCTCCTCTATCTTTATTTTACACTTCATATTTACTTATTCCATTATACTCTTTTTTTTTTTATAGCAATTTATTGGATTTTACAATAGGAATAAATGTAATAAACAATATAACATTCGTCTTAACATAATTTCACATTTTCTTTGGACTTCCTCACATCTCCCGCTCCCACCTTCATCATTATAACATTTTGTCAGCAATTTATCATCTTATTTAAATTCTTATATCTCTTCGATATTTCATGATCTTATAGTTCTCATAAAGAGTTAAACTTTCACAGTTTTTCTTATTTTCTTAAAAACTTCTAAGTTAAGTGGTGCTCAGTTATTTAGTCTAGCATCTTATTCAGCATTCAGTCAAATCACAATGTTTTTGTAGGTAGTTCTTAAATTTCTTCCAATCCTCCTCGATTCTCTCTTCTCCCATGTCACGGATTCTGCCAGTCATTTCAGCCAGTTGCATATAGTCTATCAGTTGCATCTGCCATTCTTCCAGTGTGGGTATATCTTGAGTTTTCCAATGTTTTGCGAGTAGTATCCTTGCTGCTGTTGTTGCATACATCAAAATGTCTGGTCCTTCTTTGCCACCCCTTGGCTGACAATACCCAAAAGGAAAGCCTCTGGTTTCTTAGTGAAAGTATATTTAAATACCTTTTTCAATTCATTATAAATCATTTCCCAGAACGCCTTCACTTTAGGGCAGGTCCACCAGAGGTGAAAGAACGTTCCTTCACACTCTTTACATTTCCAGCACTTGTTATCAGACAGGTGGTAAATTTTTGCGAGTTTGACTGGGGTCATATACCATCTATAAATCATTTTCATTACATTTTCTTTCAAAGCATTACATGCAGTAAATTTCAATCCATTACTCCACAGCCTTTCCCAGTCCTCAAACATAATATTATGCCCAATATCCTGTGCCCACCTTATCATAGCCGATTTAACCATTTCATCTTGTGTATTCCATTCCAACAGCAAGTTATACATCCTTGAAAGTATCTTAATCTTTGGTTCTAACAATTCTGTTTCTAATTTCGATTTCTCCACCTGGAACCCTAGTTTCTTATCATTTTTAAAAACTTCTTTAATCTGAGCATAATGTAACCAATCTCGCACTTTGTCTTTCATTTTCTCCAAACTCTGCAGTTTCCAATTGTCTCCATCTTTTTCTAATATTTCCCAATATTTTGGCCATTTGGCCTCCATATTGGGTCTTTTCGGGCCTTAGCTTCCAAAGGTGAAAGCCACCTTGGTGTTTTATTTTCCAGCAAGTCTTTATATTTTGTCCAGACATTAAACAGTGATTTTCTAACAATATGGTTCTTAAAGGCCTTATTTGCTTTAACTTTGTCATACCATAAATATGCATGCCATCCAAAAACATTGTTAAACCCTTCCAAATCTAACACATCAGTGTCTTCAAGAAGTAGCCAATCTTTTAGCCAGCAGAACGCTGCGGCTTCGTAATACAACTTTAAGTCCGGCAGGGCAAAGCCCCCTCTTTGTTTTGCATCAGTTAGTATCTTAAACTTAATTCTACTTATTCCATTATACTCTGTCTGCCAATACGGTCTAATATTCTTCTCCAACCTTTTCTAACATTCTTTTATATTACAGTATTTCTGAAGATATATTTTAAATTTTTTCCAATCTTCTTCCATTGACCCTTCTTCCTGATCTCGAATTCTGCCGGTCATCTCTGCCAGTTCCATATAGTAACTTTTAGAAGACATCTGAAGGCAGCCCTGTATCAGGAAGTTTTTAATGTTTGATGCTTTATTATGTTTTATATATTCTGTAAGCCACCCAGTGTGGCTGATGAAACCCAGCCAGGTGGGTGGGATATTATTATTATTATTATTAAGCCTGCTGGATCAGTTCAATGGCTCATTGACTCACAGTGGCCAACCAGATACTTATGGGAAGCCCACAAACTGTCCCAGTGTGCAGAGGTAACAGGATGTCCTGAGAGGTATGCTTTCTTCCAGATGCAAAGATGTGACAGAGTTGAACAGGATAATTTGATTAAAAATAATTGCCTTACTGTCTGCAGGCTATTTTCTTTTTGGAAAAGTAGTTACTGATCCCATTGAAGGCCTTAATCTACCTCTCCTTACTACTGAGTATTCTCCAAGTTCACTGTCACCACGTCCCAGGACATCATAAGGACTCTGAGGGTCATGGAGATATGCTATTGCATTAACTTGTGAAATAGCTCTCTCCCTAAACAACAGGAAAATGATAGGGCAGACAATGTGTAACTCCAGCAAATCATTGGGGTGGAAATAATGGTGGCTTTATGAAACATTAAGTCAAGGAAGATATAGCACCAATGAAGCTTCCCTCCATCCAGAAAACAGATTATTTCCTTTCCAAAGGGCACAGACCAGAAATAGTATGTCAAAATGGGAGGGGGCATTTCAGCTAGCCCTTCATGGTAGAAGACTGGATTTCTGAAGCAAATGACTGCCATAACTCATATAATTGAAATTGAAATACTTTATTGTCACTTGTACAACTTGTTGTTGTTGTTGTTGTTTAGTCATTTAGTCGTGTCCGGCTCTTTGTGACCCCATGGACCAGAGCACGCCAGGCACTTCTGTCTTCCACTGCCTCCTGCAGTTTAGTCAAACTCATGCTGGTAGCTTCTAGAACACTATCCAACCATCTCGTCCTCTGTCGTCCCCTTCTCCTTGTGCCCTCCATCTTTCCCAACATCAGGGTCTTTTCCAGGGAGTCTTCTCTTCTCATGAGGTGGCCAAAGTATTGGAGTCTCAGCTTCAGGATCTGTCCTTCCAGTGAGCACTCAGGGCTGATTTCCTTAAGAATGGAGAGCTTTGATCTTCTTGCAGTCCATGGGACTCTCAAGAGTCTCCTCCAGCTCCATAATTCAAAAGCATCAATTCTTCGGCGATCAGCCTTCTTGATGGTCCAGCTCTCACTTCCATACATCACTACTGCGAAAACCATAGCTTTAACTATACAGACCTTTGTTGGCAAGGTGATGTACACGAGCACCCCCCACTCTGCTCTCTTAGTCTTAGTTCCCCTTGTTTACTGATGCATACCCACCAAACCCAAAATCAGTTGCCCTGTTGTTATCTTTTCATTCAGCAGCCTAACAGCCCAAGATAGAAGCTGTTCTTTACACTGTTGGTGTGACTAATCATGCTTCTGTATCTTCTGCCTGAGGGCAGGAGATCAAGAAAGTGCCGGCCAGGGTGTGAATTTTCCCTGAGAATTTTCCTCACTCTCCTGATGCAACGTTCTTCCGCTATTTCATCCAGCGGATTCACGGGACAGCCCATAATATCTTGTGCTGTATTCACCACCCTCTATAGGCACTTCCTATCAGATTATGTCAAACCAGCGTACCACACCAAAGCAAAATTTTGTGGCCTAAACTTTCATCTGTACTAATATTACGACTTAAGAGTACGGTAAGCTAAAAGTCTCCAGGCGCTGCAGTTGGCCACTAGGGAATCTCACTTGGTGAGGTTGATGTTGCCAGCCTTCATGACACATTTGCCTAAGACATCAGTGTAGGGAAACCTTCCTGATGCTATTGTATCCCAGCATCCCTCAAGTTAAGTTACATTTCTGTCTCTGTTGATTGATCACAAAAGTTTTAGATCTGTAAAAACTGGATGGGAGGTGGGGAGGCTTTACCTGTTCATATGTCACTTGTGCATCATTTTAAAGCCAGTCTTGATGCCTATTAAAAATTATGCTTATATATCTCCTTCTCGGTTAAAGTCTTCATCCTTAACCATTTGTTATGAGGTTTTTTTTTGGGGGGGGGCAGGTAGGCTATATATCAATACCCTTCTAATTCCTGGATCCAAGAAGTGTTAAAATCTACAAGGAGCTTCCTGGTGAGGTAACGGGCCATTAAGGAAACAAAGGGAGTGGCTCTGAGACAGATGGGAAATGAGTGAGCTCCCCTCCCTCAGCTGGCTGGTAGAAGGACAAAGGCCAGAGTGGATTGATGTAAGCTAGAAACTGAAAAGCTGAAGGCTGGGAAGCCAGACAGAGAGTGCCATGCTTGATTTCGGATTGAATCTGAGACTGTGGCTATGGGAGAAGCATAGCCAAGAACATAAGTCAGTGTTTTCCAGTGTGTATTAATCTAAAGTAGTGCCTGGACTAAGACTGGATACGTTGCAAGGAGCATAAACAATATGACATGTGAGCCAGTGTGGCGTAGTGGTTAAGAGCGGTGGACTCGTAATCTGGTGAACCGGGTTTGCGTCCCCGCTCCTCCACATGCAGCTGCTGGGTGACCTTGGGCTAGTCACACTTCTTGAAGTCTCTCAGCCCCACTCACCTCACCGAGTGTTTGTTGTGGGGGAGGAAGGGAAAGGAGAATGTTAGCCACTTTGAGACTCCTTCGGGTAGTGATAAAGCGGGATATCAAATCCAAACTCTTCTTCTTCATCATACTTACAGAAGAATCTTCTTTCATTCAGCTCCTATTTTTCTTAGTGCATATTTTCTACCCACCAAATGCCCAGTTTTCATGATTAACCATTAAACAGAACAAACAAGGATTTTCCAAGGAAGGCAGAGAACTAAAATGTGATGCAATTTGTTTTTAGTCTTCTTGCATTTTGCGCAAAGAGGCCATGAGGTAAGGGCAGAAGAAAACGTTTTGAGCCAGGGAAGGTGAATCTGTGTTGGAAGGTGAATCTCTAGATGTTGTTGGACTACAACTCCCACCATCCCTGACCATCGAGTCTTTTAACAAATAGCAGAAATTAATAAATGGCAGGATGTTGATTTGGCAGGGATATGAAGGGCAAATACACGCTGCAGAGGAATTCCTGGCCTGGCCTATGCAAAATGAAGTGGCCAAGCTAGGGCCATTAAGAAGCAATACGAGGTCATTGAGGGCCATTGGCAGGGCAAGAGAACTATTCTTTGCCCTTTCCCTGAGGTGTGAACAGAAACAGGCTGTTTCGAATGTTGTCAAGGTAATGGTGTGATGTCACAGGAAGAGTTTGGGCCCTTTGGCAGGAGGCTTGGGAAAGCTGAGAAAAGGCGAGAATGACCTTGGCTGGTTGGCTAAAGGCCAGCTGGGAGAGATGCCTTGGACTCCAGTGCTGCACTACTGTGGGGAATAAGCCCCTCTTGAGATGACCATGCTGTAAGATCTGTACTCCCTCTATATGTAGGTGTAAAGGTAAAGGGACCCCTGAACATTAGGTCCGGTAGTGACCGACTCTGAGGTTACGGCGCTCATCTCTCTTTATTGGCCGAGGGAGCCGGGCGTATAGCTTCCGGGTCATGTGGCCAGCATGACTAAGCCGCTTCTGGCGAACCAAAGCAGTGCATGGAAATACCGTGTACCTTCCCGCTGGAGCGGTACCTATTTATCTACTTGCACTTGGAAGTGCTTTCGAACTGCTAGGTTGGCAGGAGCAGGGACCGAGCAACGGGAGCTCACCCCGTCGCGGGGATTCAAACCGCTGACCTTCTGCTCGGCAAGTCCTAGGCTCTGTGGTTTAACCCACAGCGCCACCCCTCGTCCCTATATGTAGGTGTAGTTGAACCATATTTCTAAAGGAACGGCAGTCTCTGCCGCGTCTTGATACTCATAGGAATACAGACTCTGGGTGAGCTCCTGGAAAACCCTGGAATCTTGCCACAGCTTGGCAGAGTTTGGGGGTGGCATCCAACATTTGTAACAATATGGTATTTCCCACCCACCTCCGAAACAGTTGCAAAATGTAGAATGCCATGTCCAATGAAACTTGTATGACATGCTTCTATTCTTTAGGCTGTGTGTTTTCTCTGGCTTCATGAGGCCAGCAGAAACAAGGAAGGAAGCAACAAGATTTTTATGGCTGGGAACCCAGACAAAGGCTTTTTTTCTTACCCTGCTCTTGAAGGTGTAATATTAGGCCTGACAAAAGTTTAGGACACAGAATGTTGCTTTGGTGCTGACATAAGTTCTGACAGTCATTTGCTTCAGAAATCCAGTCTTAACCACCATGAAGGGCGAGCTGAAATGCCCCTCCCATTTTGCCCTATTGTTTGAGGTCTGTGGAATGGAAAAGGCCATCTCTTTCATGGATGTGGGAAAGCCATTAACATTTCCTTGCCTTAACATTTCTAAAAGCGGTTTTCTATAAAGAAGACAGGGTGGCGCTGTGGGTTAAACCACGGATCCTAGGACTTGCTGATCAGAAGGTCGGCGGTTCGAATCCCCGCGACGGGGTGAGCTCCCGTTACTCGGTCCCTGCTCCTGCCAACCTAGCAGTTTGAAAGCTCGTCAAAGTGCAAGTAGATAAATAGGTACCGCTCCGGCAGGAAGGTAAACGGCGTTTCCGTGCGCTGCTCTGGTTCTCCAAAAGCAGTTTAGTCATGCTGGCCACATGACCTGGAAGCTGTACGCTGGCTTCCTCGGCCAATAAAGCGAGATGAGCGCCGCAACCCCAGAGTCGGACACAACTGGACCTAATGGTCAGGGGTCCCTTTACCTTTACCTATAAAGAAGACATCACCATTATCTCCACCCCAAGAATTTGCTGGAGTTACACATTGTCTGCCCTATCGATTTGCTGTTGTTTAGCGAGAGAGCTGTTTAAAAGGTGAAGGCAACGGAGGCAGGCAAATCGTTCTTCCTGTCCCCAGTTGAAGAAATTCCCAAGCGCTGAAATGTTTCAGGCTCCTGTTTCAGCAAAAAAATAACCTTGATTCTGGCTGAATCATTTCAAACAGATCCATTGGGCTTACTCCTTTTTTCTCTTGCTCCCCCAACCCAACATTCTGCACCCAGGGTTGGCTACAATTGCATCCATTATGCAGAGCATGTTAGCTGCCTCCATTGGTGGATACATGAATGGCAGTGGTGATGGCAGCCTCGCCAGCTACTCTCCTTCAACCCTCTCTCTGGTGTTTCCCATCTGGTGGAAGACAGAGCTGTATTTACCACATGACCTGGCTTTCACCTGCCCAAACTAGCCTGCAGCCCTGAGGCGTGATGGTGGGTGCCAGTTTTGAAGGAAGATTCAAAGTGTCAGGCTTTTGTTTCTAAAAGGATAACTGGTGTCATCTTGCTCTTTGCAACTGGAAGCAAAATATATTCAGCAGGCCCGGATTGATTCCCTTGTTACTTGATCCCGCAGAAATTATAGGGACCCTGAGAGTCATGCCTGGTTCTGTGGAGCTTTTATTTTTTTAGAAGCAGGCATTGTTACAGGATTCAACACTAACCACTGAAACAGAGATCTCTTTCCATAGCCAGAAACATGCTGCAGGCAACAAATGGTGTAAGAAATATAGTCTACAAGATTACAATATTTTCAAATCATTTTATTCCAGCAGTGATTTGTGCTCATTGCCTTATTTAATTTCAAAGCAAATTGGATAACACTACTGGGGTTAGGCTAGTACAAAGTGAGGAAATCCATGTTTTAAAGATCAGGGGAAATTGCAATGGGAAATTTTGATCTGATCACAAACTCATTTTTCAGTTGGGTTCACAATTTTCCCTAAGAAGAGGGCACTGTGTGTTTTCTTTTCCATAATTAGAAACAGGTAGGGTCTGTTGATCTTAAAGATAGGATTAGGAGCAAAACCTTCAAACTGTGGTGAAAACTCTATAACTGTGACTCCGGTGGCTTCAGTGCCACCCTCATGAATGTCCACGACAGCCTTGTGAATGGCCTGGAGGGAAATAGTGACACATTACTTGTTTTCATATGTGATGGAGGAAAGCCTACCATAACATGTGTGCTGGATGGGTAACTACCTCTGTCTTCCATGTAAATATCCAAAAGTTCCAGCTGACTCTGGGTTCTAGTATTATGAATGGTAAGATCTTCCCTCTTTCCCCCTTCTCCACCTCTATCATGCCCCTTATTTGCCTCCACTCTCCCTGCCCCTGCAAATAAACAGGGAGTTCCTCTACCCCCATAATCCTTTTAGACGCCCTTTTCTGAACTATCATGTCACCTCTTATTTATTTACTTTCATTGTCCCTACTTCTACATTGTAAGCTCTCCTATGGCTCAGTTGGTTAGAGCCTGGTGCTGATAATGCCAAGCTTGCAGGTTCGATCCCCACATGCGACAGCTGCATTGCATTTGGTTGGACAAGATGATCCTGACGGTCCCTTCCAACTCCACAATTCTACAACTCTACAGTTCTACAATTCTATAGGCCGTTGCTTTACCCTATAATTGTTTCAGATGGCCTTTTCCAAATTATTTCCTACTCTACAGTGTTCTGTTTAAGGTGTGGTGATTTGAATTGTATGTAGTATTCCAAATGTCTTGGCGACATAGATTGAGAATAATGCATTGCCATCACATCCACAAGATGACTCAAGACACAAATGTATGGAAGAAAGGGTATATTTATTTTTTAAAAATATAATGATTCTGAAGACCTGCAGAATAAGGAATCCACATTAACCAAAACAAAGTATAGTCTGGGCATGGAAGCTACCTAATGCAGGAGGGATGAAAGCTCTCCTTATTCCTGGGCATGTTTGCATGCATTGCCTGAGGCGGTGGAGACAAAGATTGGAAACAATCATCCCCCTTTGCTCTGAACACCTTGGGTATATGAATTTGACAAGCGACCTCCACCTTGGCGTTCATCCTAATGCACATGCCGAGTGAAAGGGCACAAATAATAGTAGTCACAATAATAATGCCCACAACCAGATCATCTCTCATGAAATGCTTTTCTAAAGACCCCCTCACATACTTACTTTGGAAACTTTCAGATTGGGTTCCCCGGTAATTCCAGACAGGTCAGCATTCTCGTCACAAAAGACATCAGTCACACCCATTCTCTGCAATGTGTCTTTGACATCATAGGATCCAGAAATGGAAATTTTTGGAAGGTACAGGTGGATTTTTCTGATTAACACATGGACAGCAAAATCCAAACATTAAATTATGAGTGCAAATAATTTTGTTTAGATTACCTCCAGAAGTCCAAATAACATTGGTATGTACATTTAAACAGGGCCAAGTAGTGGATTTGTATGCTGGTGTATCAATAGCAGGGTGGTTTCTTTGCTCACCCTCTGCTTCTGTTATTCATCTTCTATAAGAGCCTTTCCTAACCTAGTGCCATCCAGATGTTTGAGACTGAAATTGCCATCAACTTTAGTTAGCTCATGATGGGCAGTCCAATCTGGAAGGCACCAGGTTGGGGGAGGCTGCACTTTAGCATCAAGGTGGACCATAACTGGAGGAGAAATGGTGGTTATGAAGAACTGACCTCTATACGATGGATTTTTACAAGGAGCCTGCTGACTCAGGAATGTCAAATTTCTATAGCTGAAGAGCCAAATTCCTCATGCAATGGATCTCTGGGAGCTACATCCCTAATATTTCACCCAAAAGCACACTTCAAACTTAATTTGTTCCAAAACAAGACATTTATATTAAATTTAAAATATAAACAAATTGGTTGTGTATGTATGTTTACTGTATATATCGGTGGCTTGCTGCAACTTCTGGAGAAGATGATCAAGAGGGTTGAGGCAAAACAACTGCAGACATTTGTAGATGGGACTCTATAATCCCTGCATCTCTCTGCTTTAATTCCTATAGTTCCAGAGATGTCTTTTATATCACGTGAAAGCTCACATATAATGAGGAACTTAATGATTAAGAGAATATTTTGAAAATGGAATAAGCTGTCACTTGAATGCTGCCTACGACTATGCTTACTAGATGGATCAATGGTCTGACTTGGGATAAGCAGCTTCCTTTGTATCCAAGTTAGGTTTCAAAACTGATGATTCTTGTCCTGTACTATAAAGGCAGGGACACGGGTGGCGCTGTGGGTTAAACCACAGAGCCTAGGACTTGCCGATCAAAAGGTTGGCGGTTCGAATCCCCACGGCGGGGTGAGCTCCCATTGCTCAGTCCCAGCTCCTGCCAACCTAGCAGTTCGAAAGCACGTCCAAGTGCAAGTAGATAAATAGGTACCACTCTGACGGGAAGGTAAACGGCGTTTCCGTGAGCTGCTCTGGTTTGCCAGAAGTGACTTAGTCATGCTGGCCACATGACCCAGAAGCTGTACGCCGGCTCCTTCAGCCAATAAAGCGAGATGAGCGCCACAACCCCAGAGTCGGTCACGACTGGACCTAATGGTCAGGTGTCCCTTTTTACTATAAAGGCATTATCTATAATAAAGGTAGCACTGTGCCAAACCCCACCCATATTCCCCAAAATTCCTCATCCCTTGAGAAAGTGAGGGTGTTTCTTTCTGATTATTTCTCATGGCCTGCTTGTAAAACAGGAGTGGGGAACCTCTGGTTGACCATATGTTTTGGACTACAACTCCCATCCTCCCTGACCATTGACTGTGCTGGCTGGGGCTGATGGGAGTTGTAGTCCAATAATATCTTGAGGGCTATAGGGTTCCCCCCCTGTTGTAAAAGATAGTAAGAAAAAAGGGCACAAATCTCCACACTTCCATCCTCATGAAATGTCTCATAATGTCTCCTCCCACCTTCTCCACCGCTCTTTTTCTTGGGGTGGTGGTGGTAGTTTTGCTTTGCCCTCTCTCCCCAAAATGGCCAAAGGAGAAATGCCATGGAATATCAGCTCAACAGCAGCAACAGTTTAATAACAGCACATAGGAGACTTACTCATATATGAAGGATCTTTTACATCTATCCAGAAATTCCATGCTCAAGCCATCCTCCACCTGCTTCATTTTCCCTTCATCTGGCAGAATGAACCATGCGCTGGCATCTCCTTTGTATGGAATTTCCACCACTGAGCAAGACAGCTCGTCATCATGGAGGAAGTTGTAATAGCCATTTCGATACATTAGGTTGACTTTCACAGTTGTGTTTGCATCTACAAAAAAATCTTCTTCGTTTGTATAGTGAGTGTCGAAAGGATATTTCCAATGGGCTTTGAAGGGAGAAAAGAAAAGAAAAGTCCCAAGAACCGAGTAAATGGATCATGAAATTCATCAGGGCAATGGAGGACAATCTTTTTAAGCCTAAGGGCTTTGTTTTCTCCTGGGAAACCTTCCAAGGGCAACATGCCAATGGTGAGTTGGGGCCAGAGGTAAAAATGGTCAGAGAAAGACTTCCCCACCGATCTCTCTATCCTTCATCCAGGGAATCAGGAGGTATTGCCACACCTCAAGGACACATTCCTGCCATGCAAATGCATGGAGGATGTGGAACAGGAAGGCTGAGGGGTGCAGCCTGGGGGATACGATTCTCTGTGTTGAAGAAAATACAGAGCAGGGCCAGTGGGAGACATGGCCCTGAGGAAGGGATTATGGTCTGGAAAGAGTCCTGAGGAATGGATAAAGAAGTCTGGAGGGATGCATCTAGCTTGTGGAGAAGAAGTTTACCCCTACACTAGTAAAGCAAAGGTAAGCACAGATCACTTTTTATTGTCCATTAGAAGTATCCCTGCTTCCATGTTGACCCTTTGTGATGTTGAACAAGCTGAAAGACCCAACACATAACCCAACATAAAAGAATGGAGAAGTCTCTCTAACCCCCCCCCCCCCATTTCTTTAATTAAAAAAACCCCTATGATTCCATGCTATGACTTTCATTCTACCTCAAAACTCCCCTTAATTACTGGTAATTTTATTACACCTGCCTGTGTGCCTGTATGGCTGTTAATTTGCATCTACAAAACCCTTTTTATTCTGAGGATGCCTGAAGATTCTTTTTTATTTTTTATTTTATTCCAGTATTGCAATTACAAAAGTCAGTGGCAGAGCAAAGCAGATTAGAAGATGCCTGGAGATTTTTTTTACAAACCCCCAATTTATTTATCTTTCTTTCAACTTACCTTTGAAGAAGATGTAGTTCAGTAAAACCATCACAGTACTTGGATCAAGCTCATCAACCGCATGGGGTATTTTCCCATGAGTTTTGGCCTGCACATAATCATTTATTTGGGTTTTAGCTGCCAATGAATTCTGGAAGTTGGATGAAAAGGCTTCAGCTCCATAAAAGGTTTTGACATCTTCCAGGAATTTCGGAAGTATTTTCAGTGGCTCATCTATGAATAAGGCATTCCCTGTGTTAATCAGGGCCTTATTGTTTGGATCATTCAGGGCACTGATGAGCTGATGGAATCCTTTGTGTATTTTGTGCTCTTCAGTCTCTGAAAGGTTAAAAGCAAGTCTTTTGTAAATTTGGCTTTGTGTTTCAGATTTGGCACCCAGCGTCAGTGCTGCAAAAGTGCTTGAGATGCTGACTGGAGAGAAGAAAATGTTTTTGGCAGCTTCACCTAAAGCTATTTGTTTGTGGAATCTAAATGCAAAGTTGGCATTACTGGGAGCAATCTCATGAGCGTACGTCAAGTTCTGACCCTGTTCTTCTTCCACAGAAGGATGTGGGGGTTCAAATATAATTTTATCTCCATGACCCTCAGAGTCCTTAGGCTGTTCTGGGAAGTGGTGACAGTGAACTTGGAGAACACTCAGTAGTAAGGAGAGGGAGATTAAGACCTTCATTCGGATTGGTAAGTATTCTTCGACAATGAAAATATCCTACAAACAGTAAAAGAGCCATTTTTAATCAAATTATTCTGTTCAACTCTGTTTAAAGGGCAGGAATTTGTTCAAGAATTCAGCCCACTGGACATGAAATAGTGGGTTGTGCTAGTAATTCACACAACATATTTCATCCATGGAGCATGTGAATAGAGTAAGACATTTCAAAAGTTAGATATGTTGTTTTGGTAAGACAATGACATTTTAATAAAATGTCATTGTCCTACCAAAACAACATATCTAACTTTTGAAATGTCTTATTCATATAAAACATCTTTATGTTTCTGTTTCCTAACATGCATTCTAGAATGATCATAATGCATTTAATGTTTTCATTTAAAATATATGTTTGCATCATTATCAAATCATCTTCCGCCAAGTAAAAACCATTTGATTTTCTTTTGGAGACTTGTGCGAAGGGGCTGACTTTTCTTTTTCACGGAAGGTGGGGAAAGAGAGAAAATGGATGAAGACTCTTGTACTGTCCTGTTCCCATGCATAGAATTCAATAAAAGATAAACAGAAAAAGAAAAATGCATATCATACTTACAGAATTCTCCAAATGACACTATATTGGTCTATGCGACTCCTTTGTTAGTTACGCACCAGACTTATATAATACTTAGTCTTCAGCATTAACCATTAAGCAGAACAAACATGGATTATCAAAGGGTACATAGAGCACAATGTGAAGCAATGGATTTTCAAGTGGTCTCTAGACTTTGCACAATGGTATCAGCAGCCAAGATAAGGGGTCCTTTGAATGGCCTACAAACCTGATGGCACCAAGCCATCTTGTGGCCCTGAGTCTCCCCTCATACTCTCCCAAGTTTTCACAGATGGAAATAGCTGCATTTCCTCATCTCTTTAGGTTTCAGGTCAGGGTGTGGGGATCCTCAGGCCTCTCTGTCTGGGCCCCCAAACTCTCTCCATGCTGCTCTCCATACTTCTCTCCCCACAGGCTGTATTCTTCTCTCTCACCGCCTGTTTTCTTGAAAGTTTTTGCTTGGCTAGAATGTGTCCATGAACTCTGAATGCATCCTGTTTATCTAAGTGGAGGTCAGAGCGGGATGTAGAAACTAGCCTACTGTACAAAGGTAAAATTTACATTTGTCTGTCTATTCACTTTTGCTCAGTGCTTTTTTTATATAGGAAAAAAGGTGCCGGTACTTACCATAAAGTTCTTATAGTAGGTGCCACACTTTTAATATTTGACAAAAATTGTGCCAGTACTGCGTGCCCTTGCGTGCCCCCCCCCGAAAAAAGCCCTGCTTTTGCCCGTGCTCTTTCCTGTTACTGCAAGGTGGCCCTCAGAAGCCTGCATAGCAGCCAATGTCACCCTCTGGCTGATCAAAGGTCCCATGCCCTGTTTCAGAAAGTTACCTATTTTTAGATAACACTTCACAACAGTTTTTTACTTTTTGAATGTTGTCTAGATTTCTACAACTGATTTAGGGTATTTTTGCACTGCTGAATCAGGAAATGGCATCCGTTTCTCTCCATCAGGTCAGGTTTTTGTGCTATGTTGATTTGAAAAAAATCAGATCTTGTGACAAAATCAATTACATTTTTGTGGCATTATCAGCTGATTTTTGTCAACACATATCATCCTAAATATGTTTTCAAGAGAAAAAAAAAAGTTTTTCCAACAACATTTATTGATTACCTGATAGAAACATTGATCACTGTAAACTGAATGGTGGGCATTGATAAAGGTAAGTACACCTAAATTGCATGTTGCTTCACCATTTTTCAAACTTCAGGGCTTGAACTTCCGTTTCTTGGAACTCCTGGAATGCTCAGCGGCAGGGAGGTCTCTCTTCAGAGTCCAACAGTAGTCAGCCATCATGACTGCATCCCAGTGACCCTGATACCTGGTCTCCATCTCTTTCATGTCCTGGTGGAATCTCTCTCCCTGCTTGTCACTCATTGAACCCAGGTTCTCAGGAAACCGGTCCATATGTGAAAATAGGTAGTGCATCTTGATGCTCATGTTGCAGCCCAGGTTTCTGAAAGCAGTCAGCATGTTGTCGACAAGTTCTGCGTAGTTTCTGGCCTTATTGTTGCCAAGAAAGTTCTTCACTACCAGAACAAATGCCTTCCACGCTTCCAGTTCCACTTCGTTCATTGAGTTTTCGAACTCTGGATCTCTGATGAGCTGATGGATCTGAGGACTGTCAAAGATGCCAGCTTTCAACTTCTCCATGGTCAATCCTGGAAAAGCCTTGCACAAGTAAGTGAAGCAGTCACCATCCTTGTCCAGAGCCTTGGTGAACTGCTTGATTAAGCCGAGCTTGATGTGCAGTGGTGGGAAGAGTATTCTGTCTCTGTCCACCAGAGGGTCGTTGATGACGTTCCTTTTTCTGCAAGGCACCAATTCCTCCCACACAGGCCAGTCCTTCTTCGTGTAATGCTGAGCACGGTCCCTACTATCCCACATGCACAGAAAACATGGGTACTTGGTGAAGACAGACTGTTGTCCCAACAAAAAGTTCACCATCTTCAGGTCAAGACAAATAAACCACTTATGCTGATCATAACTAATTTTCTCCAGCACATACTTCACCGCTTCATAGTTCTTCTTCAGTGTACTCGAGTGAGCCAGGGGTATAGAGGCAAACTGGTTGCCGTTGTGTAGCAGAACACATTTCAGTGATTGCTTGCTGCTGTGAATGAATAGTCTCCAATCTTTGGGTTCATACTGTGGCACTCCAAGCTTGAGCAGAAGCTGCACAATATCTGCACAGTACACCAAGTCCTTCTCTTCCGAGAAAAAACGGAGGTACTCTTGATGCCTGTTTAACTTAGTTTTGATCCCCCAACTTTATGCTTTGCCGCACCAATTTATGGAAGATTTCGAGGTTTTATGACTTCAAACTGATCCCTTTTCGACATAATCACCCAGAACTATCGGACCTGAATACTTCTTGTGATTAAAATAATCATTTCCAATCAAAACAATTATTCGACATGGCATTTTACCCCCACCAACTTCTTCTAAAATGTTCCACACAAGCGTACATGTGAACAAAAACGTAAAAATATGACATGTGGTCATAGCTCAAAAACTTGACCTGATTGAGCAAAAACAATGTGATTTTTGGATTCAGCGAATCAGATTCATCCTAAATCAACTGAAAAAACGCAGACAACAAATTTGTTGTGCAGCTGTGTAATTTTTCAAAAACATAAGAACATGAGAATGCCCTCCCTTCAGATGTCAAAGAGATTAAGAACTACATAACTTTTAGAAGACATCTGAAGGCAGCCCTGTATCAGGAAGTTTTTAATGTTTGATGCTTTATTATGTTTTATATATTCTGTAAGCCACCCAGAGTGGCTGAGGAAACCCAGCCAGGTGGGTGGGATATTATTATTATTATTATTAAGCCTGCTGGATCAGTTCAATGGCTCATTGACTCACAGTGGCCAACCAGATACTTATGGGAAGCCCACAAGCTGTCCCAGTCTGCAGAGGTAACAGGATGTCCTGAGAAGTATGCTTTCTTCCAGATGCAAAGATGTGACAGAGAAATTGCCAAGTCTTGTAATTCCCAATGACCACTACCCTTTCCTTCTGATTCATGTGGGTGCAAACAATACTGCCACATACAGCTTCAGTATACAGCAAGGGGCTATGAGGCAGGAAGCTGAAGAGCTGTAGGGCACAGGTTGTTTTTTCATCACTCCACCCTGTTGAAGTTCGTGGTCCAGGAAGAGAGAATAAAATACTGGAAGTAAATCACTGGCTGCACAGGTGGTGTCATCAGGAAGGGTTTGGCTTCTTGGATCATGGTCTCTGCTTACTTGAAGAAGGACTTTTGGAGGAGATGGGCAGCACTCCACAGCAGCTGGCAAGAATGTATTTGCTAAGTGTCTCAGAAATCTGATCAAGAGAGCTTTAAACTAGATCCTGAGTGGGAGGGAGACAACAATACAGAAGACAGAGGAACACCTAGGACTGGGGATAATGATGGTGCTCCAGAAACCTGCTAAAGGGCAGGAAATGACAAGAAGGAAGCAGCTGGAGGGAATGACTTATGGTTTCAGTTGTCTCTATACCAATGCACAGAGTGCATGCATAGTAATAGATGAATAGTAGTTATATGTAAAGGATGTGTTTAATTGTGAAGAAATCCATGACCTGGAGCATGGAAAGTAGATTGAGAGTATATGGGTAAAAATAGTAGGTCAATGGCCTCACTGTGGGTGTCTGCTATAGACCGCCAAGCTAGACTGAAGACTTGGATGATGCCTTCCTAAAGCAGATTACCAAACATTACAAAAGGAAAGATATTGTTGTTATGGGAGACTTCAACTACTCCAATACCTGTCAGGACCCTGCCAAACACATAAAGGCCAACAAATTCCTCCATTGCCTTGCTGACAATTTCATTTCCCTTAAGGTGGAAGACATGACAAGGTCTTGAACCTGGTCCTCATAAACAGAGAGGAACTGACTAAAGTTCACAAGCACCAGTGCATCCTTTTGATTGAGGCAATCAATGGCATGGGCTATTTCCTCACGACTTTCTCTCCCTATATAATCATTAATCTGTTTTTCTGCCTCTATGAAATTGGAAAAGTTATTCAAAAAGCCTTCAGCTTTATACATGGTTTTGACATTTTCCAAAAACTGAGGGAGGATTTTCCTTGAACACGTTATGAACAAGGCATTCCCTATGTTCACCCAGGCTTTGTTGCCTGGATGGTGAAACTTAAAGAAGAACTGACGGAATCCTCTGTGGCTCTTAGCCTCCATGATCTGTGACAGGTTAAATGCAAGTCCCTTGTAAATCAGTCTAGGGGTCTGAGATTTAGCCCCAAGGCTGAGCGTTACAAAGGGTGTGGAAATGCTTAGTGGAGAAAATATTTTGGGCAGCTGCCTCAGAAGCAATTTCCTCGTAGAATCAACATGCACCATTGATTCCTTGTAGAATCAAAATGCACAATCTTATGCCAGTCACTTTTTGCTTGGAATAGTGTCAAAGGTGGGCGTTGCTTTTTAGATTGATTTTTATTCCCATGATCAGCATGGTCTTTGGGCTGCCCTGGGTCGTGATGACAATAAACTTGAAGAGCAAACACTAAGAAGAAGTAAATGATAGACTTTCCTGGAACTTGTAATTCTTCTGCCAAAGATAAAATAAATCACATAGATGACATTTGTCAGGTTTAGCACTTCTCTCACACAAGACACAACACGCTGGCAACATTAGAGGCTCAACCAACTGCTAAATGCTGATGGTCCTTCCAGTTTGGACCAGAGCTGTTTGGCAAAGAGCTGCATAAACAAGCACCTTTGGAAATCCAAAACTCAAGGTTGTTGTTTTTTCAAATAAAGAAACTGTATTAAAGATACACATACACATACTATTATATTTGTCCATATTTACATTATATGTATATTTTGTAAATTCAACAAGCAATTTCCATTCATCCTTAAATCCTTCTTCCCCCATTCTGTCACTCAATGAATGATTACCCCCTTTATTAGGCTAATTTGGAATTATTCAATGAAGCAGTAGCTTCAATTTCCCCTTCATCCAACATATTTATGTAAGGCAATGTTTCCTCTTTAATTTTAATTGTATAGCACCTACACCCATATCAAAAAATATACTAGAAGATATACCCCACGTATATCATTTCTTTAGTCTCCCAGTCAGAAAACATAATTCATGATTATTTTTTGCAGGGACACTGGTGAGAGATCTATGAAAAAAGTACAGTGGTGCCCCGCAAGACGAATGCCTCGCAAGACGAAAAACTCGCTAGATGAAAGAGTTTTCCGTTTTTTGAGTCATTCCGCAAGACGAATTTCCCCATGGGCTTGCTTCGCAAGACAAAACGTCTTGCGAGTTCTTGCGAGTTTGTTTCCTTTTTCTTAAAGCCGCTAAGCCGTTAATAGCCGCTAAGCCGCTAAGCCGTTAATAGCCGCTAAGCCGCTAAGCCGCTAATAGCCGCTAAGCCGCTAATAGCCGTGCTTCGCAAGACGAAAAAACCGCAAGACGAAGAGACTCGTGGAACGGATTAATTTCGTCTTGCGAGGCACCACTGTATTTGATTTTCGCTCCCAGTTTTGCAAATTCTGGTTTATCTCTAGCTGTTCTTAATATGAAATCTTTTGAATTATTCAAGAAAGTCATTAACACATTTCTATTCAAGTCCTTTCTTTTAGCATATGCTGCATTTATTCAATGTGCATTCCTTACTTAGATATCATAAAAACCAGCACCTGCCAAAGTTGCAAGTGAATCACCCCAAAAGCCCGTCAAATTATCCTCTTTAGTTTTCCCCACTATCCTAATTTACAAATTTAGTTTCCTGCTTTTGTTTTCTGATATTTTAACCTGCTCTTATAAATATTAAGCAGGCCTCTGCCACTATGTCTTAATCACTGATATGCCCCAAATGCCCATTTTCATAATTAACCATTAATCAGAACAAACAAGGATTTTCCAAGGAAGGCAGAGAACCAAAATGTGACGCAATTTGTTTTTCGCCTGCTAGTGTGTCCCTTCATTTTGCCCATTGAGGCCATGAGGTAATGGCAGATTGAAAAGCTTTGAGCAAGGGACAGTGAACCTGTTTCTCGAGATCAGGGGTCAGCAAACTTTTTCAGCAGGGGGCCGGTCCACTGTCCCTCAGATCTTGTGGGGTGCTGGACTATATTTTTTGGGGGGGGGATAAAAAATGAACTAATTCCTATGCCCCACAAATAACCAAGGGATGTATTTTAAATAAAAGGACACTTTCTACTCATGTAAAAACACGCTGATTCTCGGACCGTCCATGGGCCGGATTTAGAAGGAGATTCGGCCGGATCTGGCCCTTGGGCCTTAGTTTGCCTACCCATGCTCTAGATGTTGTGGGAGTACAACTCCCACCATCCCTGACCGTGAACTGTGCTGTCTGGAGCTGAGGGATGCTGGGATACAATAGCATCAGGAAGGTTTCCCTATACTGATGTCTTAGGCAAATGTGTCATGAAGGCTAGCAACATCAACCTCACCAAGTGAGATTCCCTAGTGGGCAACTGCAGTGCCTGGAGACTTTTAGCTTACCGTACTCTTAAGTCGTAATATTAGTACAGATGAAAGTTTAGGCCACAAAATATTGCTTTGGTGTGGTACGCTGGTTTGACATAATCTGATAGGAAGTGCCTACAGAGGGTGGTGAATACAGCACAAGATATTATGGGCTGTCCTGTGAATCCACTGGATGAATGTTGCCTCAGAAGAGTGAGGAAAATTCTCAGGGATGATTCACACCCTGGCCGGCACTTTCTTGATCTCCTGCCCTCAGGCAGAGGATATAGAAGCATGATTAGTCGCACCAACAGGGTAAAGAACAGCTTCTATCGTGGGCTGTTAGGCTGCTGAATGAAAAGATAACAACAGGGCAACTGATTTTGGGTTTGGTGGGTATGCATCAGTAAACAAGGGGAACTAAGACTAAGAGAGCAGAGTGGGGGGTGCTCGTGTACATCACCTTGCCAACAAAGGTCTGTATAGTTAAAGCTATGGTTTTCCCAGTAGTGATGTATGGAAGTGAGAGCTGGACCATCAAGAAGGCTGATCGCCGAAGAATTGATGCTTTTGAATTATGGTGCTGGAGGAGACTCTTGAGAGTCCAATGGACTGCAAGAAGATCAAACGTATCCATTCTTAAGGAAATCAGCCCTGAGTGCTCACTGGAAGGACAGATCCTGAAGCTGAGACTCCAATACTTTGGCCACCTCATGAGAAGAGAAGACTCCCTGGAAAAGACCCTGATGTTGGGAAAGATGGAGGGCACAAGGAGAAGGGGACGACACAAGGAAAATCCAGTTTGGGCTTTAGACACATACTCATTAATGTCCAGTGTTGACAATGGGCCACATTTTGCAGAACTTTTGAGCTTCCAGTTTGGGGTTAAATGTGCCCTACTCAGGTTGGGACAAATTCCCATGAAAACATGCATTCTGAGATATTGCATCTCAAATGGTGATCTCTGCAGAATAAAAAAGTATCCAGTCCAATCAACAAAAAATGTTGTTGTTGGTTAATATTTTTGTTATGTGTGTGCTTGAGATAATTGGTGATTCTGACTGTCATGTATTGCATCCCTGATTTTGTGATAAAACAAAGTCAGTGAGAAGGGATAGGAAGGTGGGGGAAGAGGGGAAGTGGAACTGTCCTGTTCCCATGCATAGAATTCAATAAAACATAAAGAGAAAAAGAAAAATATATATCATACTTACAGAATCTCCAACTGACACTAGGGGCTTTGTGATTCCTTGCTTAGTTATGCATCAGACTTATATACAGTGGTGCCCCGCAAGACGAATGCCTCGCAAGACGAAAAACCCGCTAGATGAAAGGGTTTTCCGTTTTTCGATGCGCTTCGCAGTATGAATTTCCCTATGGGCTTGCTTCGCAAGACGAAAATGTCTTGCGAGTCTTGAGATTTTTTCGCTCCCCCCCCTTTTTCTAAGCCGCTAAGCCGCTAATAGCCTTTTAGCCGCTAAGCCGCTAAGCCTTTAATAGCCGCTAAACCGCTAATAGCGCTAATCCGCTAAGCCGCTAATAGGGTTGCTTCGCAAGACGAAGAAACCGCTAGACGAAGAGACTCGTGGAATGGATTAATTTCGTCTTGCGAGGCACCACTGTAATACTTAGTCTTCAGCATTAACCATTAAGCAGAACAAACATGGATTATCAAAGGGACAGAGAGCAGAATGTGAAGCAATGGGTTTTCAAGTGGTCTCTAGACTTTGCACAATGGTATCAGCAGCCAAGATAAGGGGTCATATGAATGGCCCCAAACATTATAGCCTCAAGGTATTTTGTGGCCCCATGTCTCCCAAATTTTCACAGATGGAAATAGTCACATTTCCTCATCTCTTTAGGTTTCAGGTGAGGGTGTCGGGAACTTCAGGCCCTTCTATCTGGGCCCCCAAACTCTCTCCATATTTTTCTCCCCAGTAAGTGCCTCTCACTGGCTGTTTTCTTCCCCTTGAGTGTTTTTGCTTGGCTAGAATGTGTCAATGAACTCTGATAATTCATCCTGTTTTTCTAGATGGAGGTCAGAGCGGGGTGTAGAACCTATCCTACTATATAACTAGTGCCAGCCATGACATTTATTCACTTTTGCCTCTGCTCTTACCCACTACTGGAAGGTGAAAAAGGTTCCTGTACCCTGTTTAAAAGGTTGTCTCTTTTTAGATAATTTTTCAAAAAAAATACTAACATAAGAAAGTCTGTTGAATCAGTTCAATGGCCAATCTACTAGCAGTGGCAAACCAGATGCTTGTGGGAGCTGCAAGCAGGACATAACAGCACTCGCCCCCATTGTGATTCACAGCAACTGGCATTCAGAATCATGCGGCCTCCAACTCTGATGGTAGAACCTAGTGATACGGAAGGGGGGGCATGTCTTCTTCTTCACCTTCTTCTTCACTACAATATATCCATTTATTTCCAATTGCCAATGTCAAAAGGGACTAAAATCTATAAAATTCATAGAAAATCAACGTGCCAATTTGCTCAATTTCTCTAGGACTCCATGACACCTCCCCTGTCCTCCATAATCCCTCAAGCAAGGTGTCAAGACCCTAATCCTGTCAAATCGCTCTGCCAAGCCCTTCCTCCAGGCCGATGCCAGGTGACAGACTATGCATACATGGACCATTGTCTTCTCAGGATGTGCTTATCTGCATACATTGTCTTCTCAGGATGTGCTTATCTGCGCATATCTCCAGCTCTGCATATTCCCCCCTCCCTCCTCCATATGTTAATCCAGTGTAACCCAACCTCTTCCTAATGTATTCATGATGTAATCTGTGTAACCCAACCTCTTCTTAATATATTCATGATGTAACTGGGATGTATTTTGCACTGTATTCTGGGACATGTAGTTCATGTCACCCCTTTCTCGCTGTTCAATCTCGCCTTGAACCTGTTGCGCAATAAACTCGGATCTTCTGTAGCTTGCTCCTGTCTCTGGCTGAGCTCATTTTCTTCCGCAGGGATCCGCGGACTTAGTCCGACGAGCTGGGTGGCAGAGTAACTCCGCACCCAGATTTTTATCTTCATCTTCCACAAATTTGTGTATTCCTCTTTCAAAGCCATCAAGTTAGTGGTTGTCACTACTTCTTGTGAGAGCAAAATCACCAGCAAAATATTTGGGTGAAAGCAGGCCACAACAGATGTAAGAGGTATGTAACTTGGCCCTGAATACGGTGACCAGTTATGCCATAACAAGGTCAGGCAGAACAACACGCAACAGCAATATATAAAGGGTGGGAACGCCAACAGAAAGTGTCTGCAGAGCAAACCATGTGCCTTTGTAATATACCAAAGAGGCAGGCTAGGCCCACCCTCGCTGGTCTATGCCCACTCATGATTCGCTGATTAGGTGAGTTGGCAGGACCAATTACTCAGGCAGCAAGTTCGGCCCAGAGGCTTCCTTTGCTGCCTGGGAAACAGTCCTTGGGATTTCCCACATTGGATCCTGGCACATGGAGGGGGGGTGCCCAGAGGCATAGCAAGGTCAGGTGGTACCCGGTACTGCTTTTTTTTGTCACTCCCCCCCCCCACATTGTCAGCTCGGGGTAGGCTTGGGAGTCACTGGTGGGCAGTGCGCCAAATGTCACCCCTGGGTGTGCCGCCCACCCGCGACTCCCAAGTCTCCCCTGAGCTGTCAAAACGAAGGGGGAAGGGGGGAAGGCTGCCAACAAAGTGGTGCAGCTCCCCTTTCCCCCGACAGCTGCAGGTAGGCTTGGGAGTCGTGGGCGGGCAGCACGCCAAATGTCACCTCCCTCAGCGATGACACCCAGGGCGGCCTGCCCCCACCGTACCCCCTTCCTATGCCTCTGGGGATGCCAGCCCTCAATGGCACCCACCAGAGAGGGTGAGTGGACTTGTGAGAGTGAAATCGGCAGCAAAATATTTGACTGTTATCCACCCAATAGTTTTCCAGAGCTGCGTCTTGTTTCTATGCTGTATTGCTTTCCAAATTTGACTTTTCCGCTTTAGGCTTTCTCTTTTAGACACAACATTAACGAGTAAATTGAGGTTGCTGGGAGTGCTCAGTTCTCTTGGTGGCTTGCACACCCCAGCAGTGCAACTAGAGCTGGACCTTGGGCCTGAGGTCCCAAATGACCCCCCCCCAGTACAGTAGTGAACAGGCCTAGCATCAGCACCTGGGCCAAACAGGTATGTCAAGGCCCACAGAAGCTGGTTCCCCAACATAGTGGTAGATAATATTAGGAGAAAGTTCTGCAAAGTGGTCTTCTCAGAAAAACCTCAGAAATGTTATCGGGGGAAAGAAAGGCTTCAGAGTAGTTTAACAATCAATCCGTCTCCCCAGGGCATTTTGGGAATTGTAACTCTGTGAGCGGAATGGGGTCTCCTGATGTCAGGGACTGGCTGGATGAGGAAGAGTGTTGGGAGCCATCCTCCCATGAGCCCCCAGGCAGGGCACAGAAGATGATGGCTTCTTTTGGGGTGCTATTCTACTTTCCACATTTTGTGGTTGTTGCCTTCTTATCACATATTTACTTACTAACGTGTCCTGATTGTATTCTGCATACTTTGTCCAATGGAAGAAAAATGAGAGTCACTAAGAATCATGCCTGATTCTCCTGGCCTAGTGCCAGCCATTTATCTCCACAGAGAAATTCTTCCTTATGATAGGGGCATGGAAGGCTTCTCAGTTTTAGTTTGTTTCCCCCTGCAGAACCCCAATATCTACCAATCAGATGTAAAATGCCATATGTAAAAGAGATACAGGTAGAATTAAAGGACACAGTATGCCTCTGAGCACCTTCTGAGTTGGTTTGAATTTCACCTAGGGATTTGTGGGCCCCTTTCAAGGACAGAAACATATTGCAGATTCAAAAGGGTGGAGCATGAAGTTAACCCACAATATCACAATGTTTTAAAATCATTTTTATTATAAAATGGCTTTGAAGTCAGTCGTCTTCTTATTCATCCCAGAGACAACTGGTTATGGGCACCACCAGGACTGGGCTAAGAAAATGCAAAGTGGGAAATCCAGTTTTTTAATCTCCTAAAAAGGCTGTACTTGTAATACTCTGGCTCTTCTAATAGTCATTGCACAGTAGGGTTGATGATCTTCCCCAGGAAGAGAATGCTCCATGTTGCCTTATCTAAAATAATAATCAGGAAGGGTCTATTGAAACTGATAGTAAGTACAGGTTGAAATGGAGCGGAACGGAACATAAACTCTATCGTGGTGACTGCCGCTGCCTCAGTGCCACTCTCGTTAACATCCAGCACAGTCTTGTGAATGGCCTATGAGGAAAGAACAACATATCATTGTCTGCAAGTCACATTCTCCAGTAGTTCACAGATGAATATGGACACCCTTGTGATGATCATTGTTCTCATACTGAGGATCTTTCCATTAGACCTCCCTGAAGCAGCTGCTCTATCTACTGTAATTGCTTTCTCTGTGATAGCTTGTCCACAATGATCTTCAAATCCAAGAGGGTGTTTGATCTTTTAGCTAAAGCAGGGGTTACCAACCTGGAGGGGCGGGCGGGGGCACCGTGAGCACATTCACAAACAGGAGAAAATGTCCTGGGCACCATGCCAACACTACAAACAAGCACATACTGCAACCTAGGTCCCTTCTGCACTGTACATTGAAAGTGGTGCTGTACCACTTTAAGCAATCATGGCTTCCCCCAAGGAATCCTGGGGGTAGCTTGTCCAGGGTGCTAAGAGTTCTTAGGAGACCCCTTTTCTGTTCACAGAGCTACAATTCACAGAGTTCCCCGGGAAGGGGGATTGAATGTTAAACTGCTCTGGCTATTGTAGCTCTTTGAGGAGAAATTGAGTCTTCTAAATGTCTCCAAAGTCCACAAGAGTATGGTACGTCCCAAAATATACTGCGCTGTCAAAAGTCAGGGTAAAGAAGTGTGTCTTCAGCACATGATGGGGAATACAAAACAAAGACACACCTTTGTGGAGAGGGAATTCCACAACTTAGGGACTGCTGCAGAGAATGCTGTCTCCCAGGCCCTCATTCCCTGAATTCTGAGGGCATTTGATTTGAACTGATTTTATAATGAAATGATTTTAGAATGTTGTATTATTTTACTGTTGTTAGCCGCTCTGAGCCCAGCTTCAGCTGGGGAGGGCAGGATATAAATAAAATATTGTTGCTGTTGTTGTTGTTGTTGTTATTGTTGTTATTGTTGTTGTTGTTGTTGTTGTTGTTGTTATTGTTATTTATTATTATTATTACCAGGAGGATCTCCCTTGCTGGTCTTACCACCCAAGGGGGGCTGTAGAGAAGGGGAAAGTATTTCAGACCTTTGGGATTGAAGTCATTTAGGGCTTTGAACATTAATGAAAGCACCTTGAATTTGGCCTGGAAGCAATCTGGCAACCAGGTAGGTGGTTTAAAATGTGGGTTTATGCAGGTTCTAGTTGGAACCCCAGCTAGTAATCTGGCCGCTGCATGTTGGATCAGCTGAAGTTTCCAAGTAATTTTCAGGGGCTGCCTCACAAAGCAGAGATTGCAATGATGCATTCTGGAAGTTACCAGAGCAGGGAGTACCATGGCTGAGTCATCTCTGTCCAAAAGGGACTATGTAGCAGGAAACAGGCACTCTTAACCACTGAGGCCAATGAACTTTCAGGGACTGTGTGGATCAATTTGTACCCCCAGCGGTGGACCTGCTCCTTCAAGGGGGAGTGTAGCACTTTTGCCTATGCATTTTTATGCCGTATTCACTGGTTTTATTTGAATTGCAGTTTGAATTGTTTCAGTGTTCTCTTTTGTTCAGTGCCCAGATAACCTTGATGTACCATCCAATCAACATTTAACCATGAGACTCCTGGAAGAATACATTCTTCAGGTGTCAGTCTAAAGACAAACCAACGTCACTGAAGGTTCACCCACATTTCCCGTCACTCCATGCTTTCTACGCACAGGTTTGGGTTTCCCAGATTTGTTTTTGTGGGTGGTTTTTTTTTGTCCCAGCATTTCCCCCAGGAAAACCCACCTTTTACTGCTGAATCAGAGCAAATGACAATGCTTGAAAACCTGATTGCCATTTGCTCAAATTCAGCAGTAAAACAAGGGTTCTCCTGGAGAAAGCACAGGGAATAATAATAATAATAATAATAATAAATCTCTGCTCAGACCTGGAAAGCCAGGACCCATGTCTAGAAATGCAGCACAAAAGGAAGTGTGGCAGAGTCTAGATTTAAGGCACAATCAATGCAAATTTAAAGCACATGACCTTCCCCAGGGCATTCTGGGAACTGTAGTTTGTCAAGGGTTCTGGGAATTGTAAGTCTGTAGAGGCGAAATTCCAGCTTCCAGGATTCTTTGAGGGAAGCATGTGCTTTAAATGTGCACTGAATTCACTTTAAGTGTATGGTATGGATCTGTGATTCACATTTTGCAACGTTTTCATGGCTTCCTGCAAATGAGAAAAATATCAACAAAAAGAGTTCCTTCTCAGATGTTCTTCACGTGCTTCTGAGAAATTATTGGAGGTAATGTTGTCCTCTTTTAATCAAGGACCAAATGACAGAGCATGAAGGTTTAAAGAAGCACTTGATCAAAGAGAGAAAGCACTTACTTTGGAAACCATCAGGTCACGTTCTCCGGTAATGCCAGACAGATCAGCAGCGTCATTAAAGACGTCTTGCACACCCATCTTCTGTAATAAGTCTTTGACATCATAGGATGCAGAAATGGAAAATTTGGGGATGAAAAGACGTACATTGCTGATGAAGAAAAAGAAAAAGAATCCATATGTTATTTCATTGGTGTTCAGCTGTTGAGTCATGACCCACACAGTGACATTCCCTGGCCTTGATGCAAGCTTGGAAAAGGGCCCCAGTGCATAGGAAGGGTCTCTTGAAGCCTCTTAAAGGGTCACTGTTTCTCCACTCCAAGTCCTCCCAGGCCAGAATACATTGCTTTAGTAGAGGGAGTTAGGAACTGGATCTACCTTGTAGGCCAGATCCTGACCTCCAGCAACTGCCATGTGCCATTTTGACAGGTGTGTGGGACTGATATCGCCATAATGTCCGCTGAAATCAAATCACGGCGGCAAATTCTCAGGGGTTTGCAAGTGCTGGTGATCAGCTGATTGGCAGCACCTGCAAACCACAGTTATTATGCCAAGGTGCTGTGTCATAACCTGCCCCACAACTAACATCATATATAATGCCTTGTGTGGGCAGGTGAATGTGGTTTAGGGAGAGATGAACTAATAGAACAAATTAGGACCCCTACTGGGCTCCATTAGGCCCATGGGATGGAGAGTTCTCACTGCTTTTTTAATGGGCTCCTCAGATTCAGAGGACTCACTCCCAGGGAAGCTCCCATTGCCTCACACCTTGGGAGCCTATGGCTCGAAAACAGGTAGCTCATCAGGCAGATTGGAACCATCAGTGTCAGGGACTGGGTAGAGAAGGAATGATGGAGACTGCGTCCCCATCCTGACCCTTCTAGGGAAGAGGAAGAGGAAGACAGTATAGATTTACAACAGGGGTTTGCTGGGGGTCACAGCTCAGAGGCAGATGAGGGGGAAAGTTGGGAAATAATGGGAGAGGAGAAGGAGGAGGCAGAAGCGGAAAGGCAGCTGGCTGACACAGTGCCATCAGAAAGCATCCCAGACCCTCCATCTCCCAGAACCTGGCCATAAAAGTAGGAGAACAAAGAGCTCAAAGGCAGAGGGCACATAGCAGCACCCATAGAAGTGATGAAGGAGGAAGTGGGAGAGACGGGGGTGGGGTGGACATTCACTCGGGACAATGCCCTTATCCAAGAGGCTGGGTTCTATAGCCTCTCACTGTAAGTATTGAAATGCAAAAAGGATGGCAAGAAACCTTTTCTTGTCTTTATACTTTCCTGGGCAAACAGCCAGGAGCCACTGGCAGCATCCTGACATGAGCCCTACTGTTTGCCTCTGCATAGTTCCATCCTTATTTCAGACATTGTGATCTATCGGTACATCACAATGTTTAGCTGGTGATATGTCACAGTGTTGAAAACCAGATATCGGCCAGCCTGAACCCACATCTAGATAAACCTGAGGTTAGGGGGTTGACAGCAGTAGCCGAGGTTAGGTCTATGGGGTGTCCTTACCAGTGGCCCCCTGAAACTGGTATATATATATATGTGGTATCCTTTTAAAACAAAAAGCTTCAACTCTTCGAATTAGCAGCATTTGAAGAAACGGTGCAGAGAAAAGACTTACTCTGTTTTAAAAGATGCTATCCATTTAGACAGACTTTCTTTTACCAATGCACCTTCCACATGCTCCAGTTTTCCTTCGTCAGGCAGAATGAAGAAAGACGTGGCATCTCCTTTGTATGGAATCTCCACCACCCAGCAAGACAAGTCTTCATCATGGAGGTATTTGTAGTAGCCTTTTCGATACATCAGGCTGGCTTTCACCGTAGTGTTTGCATCCACAAAGAAGTCTTTTTCCCGGATCATGTGAGTGTCAAAAGGGTGTTGCCAGTAAGCTTGGAAGAAAAAGATTAGGCAAAAGAGTTGCATGATTTTTAATTCCCTCCAAAGGCAACTTTGTGTGCAATAGGTAAGTATTTCATCATGTAAGTACAGGAAATGCAAGAGGCATAGAAGTGAGTGATTAAAAATATATATCCTAAAACCTAGACAAAATACCGTATTTTTTGCTCTATAAGACTCACTTTTTCCCTCCTAAAAAGTAAGGGGAAATGTGTGTGCGTCTTATGGAGCGAATGCAGGCTGCACTGCTATCCCAGAAGCCAGAACAGCAAGAGGGATTGCTGCTTTCACTGAGCAGCAATCCCTCTTGCTGTTCTGGCTTCTGAGATTCAGAATATTTTTTTTCTTGTTTTCCTTTCTCCAAAACTTAGGTGCGTCTTGTGGTCTGGTGCGTCTGGTGAGTGAAAAATACGTAACTGTAGCAGCTGCTTGCAAAACAGTACACAAAATAATGAAAATGTCAATGGGACACAGTGGAATACTCACAGAGTAAGTTCGTTTGCCCTCCTGGGGCAGGTGACCCTCCTGGGGTGGGCAGGCACTGTGTCTCCCCTATGAACTGGCCTATTGCCAGCCAGATTGTATTCCTGCCACCAAATTGGCCAATGGTGGCAGTGATGCATGGGGCATCACCTGGCCACGGTGCCAATGACCAGTAGTAGCACTTGGTACCATGCCCAGGGGAAGGATAAATATCAAGCCAGCAGGGTCTTTTGGCCTCTCTCTCTGTGCCGGTTCTCCCGCCCACCCTCCCTCAGATTAGGGTTGGTGTTTTTTTACCAGTGGTACGACCTTGCTATGGACAATGTCGGTCGCTAGATTCAGGGCCCGGTCAGGAATTTATTTCCACCTGGCAAACTGGCTCCATCATTTGGGTTTTTGGCTGCCTCATAGCAATTGTCACAACTTTGTAAGGTGGTTAGGCATTGGGTAAACCTAGACTTGGTTGGAGGGGAGGTTATAGCCTCTGTCTGCCCCTCCATGAGTAAGGAGATCCTGTTAAAAGGCAGCTCCTGTACGATGCCCAGATGGGAGCTAGGGCCATCCCACTTTTCCAATGCGGACCACTGGCTTCACCCTCTTGGCAGACGGGCGGGAGTGTCATGCGCCATTGCTTACCTCAATGCCTATGGCCAAACCTTTCGTATCTGTAACCAATAAAGTTGTGGCCTTACTTGATCCCCAAAACCCAATAAGCTGTGTGTTGTCTAGTTATTTGCACCTTAGGGAACAGGGTGGTCATGGGGCCTTGCCATGCAAAGGGATGAAGCTTCTACCAAAAGAGTCTCTTGTCCTCCTCTCTGACTTCATTATGTTGAACCTTTTAGCATGTTTTGTTTTTTTTTCTTTTCAACTGCTCATGTTTACTGGAAGTTTGCTCTCCTTAACAAATTTAAATTTGACATTCCATGGCAGGCTGCAATTTCATTGGTGGTATACTCTGCTCTAAAACCCAACTACCAACACAAAAATTTGATATCTCCACTACCCTTCTCTGTTGTTTCAGGAGCAACATTTTTTTCAAAAAGGCATAAGCGGACAGGCCATTGGTCTGATCCAACTGGCTTTTCTATCTAGTCCATCATCCTGTTCTCACAGTGCCTATGGGAAACACACAAGAAAGATGTGAGCACAACAGCTCTTGAGAGTTTTAGATGAATGAGTATTTATCAGAGCCTTAAAAAGTTGCCATCGTTACATGTTTGTATGCCCACCTAACAGGGATATATATCTGCAACATTGCATTTCAGGTCCCACTTATTCCCTTTAATAGGGATGTCAGCTGGTTGAATGCCTATCAGCTTGGGGAAAAAATGATCACAAAATGGAAGCAACAGGAAAGGTGGTTTTTAAATATTTGGGGAGGACCTCCTAGGTATACAGAAATGTGGTTTTTTTAAAAAAAATAAAAAATAAAACATTGTCTTTTTAAAAAAATTAAAGCTACATAAATTGCCTGAGAAGAACTTGTGACAGAAGGTTCCTTTCAGAAGATCAATGGTATTCCAGTCCACAGAGAAAGGGAGAGAGAAACAGTCTAATGAAAGCAGGAGCCAGGCAGATTCCAGCCCTCTTCAGATATTATAATGGTGGAAGGGTAAAAAAAGTAGAAAAGAGCTGTAGGGCCAGAGCTTTAGCCCTGTCCCTACTGTCATGTGGGTGCTTTCTGCTTCCTTGTCTTCTAGTGTAACTTGTGGAGCAGAAAGGCTCCTTGCATGATTAAGGACCTTGGAAGATCAGTTTAATCACAGTGAGAGAGTCCACTGGATGACAAAAGTAAGCCTCAAGATGCAGCCACTTAGCACTTTTCTACTCAAGTTTCCCCTCATGACTGCAATGTGCCTAGGGCCCCATCCACACTGTAAATTTAAAGCAATATCATGCCACTTTAAACAGTTCTAGCTTCCTCCAAGACATCCTGGGAGTTGGAGTTTAAGAGGCCCCTATTCCCCTCACAGAGTTCCCTGGGAAAAGAGATTGACTGTAAAAGCACTCTGGGAATTGTAGCTCTGTGAGAGGAATAGCACCCTTAAACTACAGTTCTCAGGAAGCTTTGGGGGAAGCCAGGACTGTTTAAAGTGGTATGATCATACTTTATACGCATAGTGCTCAGGAATGAGAACAGCAGGTATGCAGTATTTGGGTAGGTATGCTTATATTAAGCATCTTGGGTGGGGAACTGGGATTAGGGCTGGAATTTGCATGCCCTAATTTATGAAGATATTAATTTTCTGTGCTGCCTGTCCTGCCAAAGGAGCCCAGGATGGCAAAGAGCAAAGCAGGATGACAATACAATTCAAAAAATAATAATGAATAAGCACATCAAGATAATTAAGAACACATTTAGAACATCTAAAAACATTTACAAACAGTGGCCTATCCTTACAGCTCATAATTTCAAGGTTGCCAGGAGCAGTATCTGTTAGCAATCAAATGCCTGGGTGAACAGGGATATTTTAACATTTCTTCAGAATGGTAATAATAACATTATTAACACAATGAATGCTAATGCTAATTATAATAGCTCTCACTTCACCCCTTGAGTTATTATAGGGAAGTTTCAGGAGGAAGAAAGGAAAATGGAACCATTTCGTCTCTCAAATAAGAAAAGAGGCACATCTTTTCCCTTTTCTCAATTTTCAGCATGGAATGCCCATCTCTGCCATATAACTATAAAGCACTTAGGTTTGGGACTGGCAAACTTCTAATGGTACCCAGCACAGCAGGGGAAGTGTAGGGGGGGGGGCAGAGAGAAAAGGTGTCTCTTTTCCCTTCCCCAGTACTGAAATTCCCTGAACAGCACTGCAAGCGTAAGAACATAGGAGTCTACTGGATGAGGCCAATGGCCCATCTACTGCAGCATTCTGTTCTCACAGTGGCCACCCAGATGCTTGTGGGGAAACCTGCAAGCAGGGCATGAGTTCATAAGCAATCTCCACTCTTGAGGTTTCCAGCAACTGGGATTCATAGCCAATAGCTAGGAGCCATTGAAAGCCTCCTCCTCCATGAATTTGTCCCACCATCTTTTAAAGCCATCCAAGATGGTGGTCATTACTGCCTCTAGTGGGAGTGAGTTCCAAGGCTCCTAATTCGGGGCTGACTGGAGCCCTGAACTAGAGCACTCCTCTTAAAGGAAATTTGTGTTGCCAGTCCCTTCAGTTAATTACTCTTCCAACTTACCTTTGAAGAAGATGTAGTTCACAAGAACCAGTATAGTGCTTGGATCGAGGTCCTCAAGCGCATGGGCTATTTTCCCCTGAGTTTTGTTCTGCACATAATCATTTATCTGCCTTTTGGCCGCTCTGGGAATGGTGAAGTTGGTGAGGAAGCCTTCTGCTTCATAGAAGGTTTTGACATCCTCCAAAAACTTAGGCAGAAACTTCAACGACTGCTCAATGAACAAGGCATTTCCCATCTTCACCTGTGCTTTGTTATCCGGGCGGTGAAGGGCATGGATGAGGTGGCGGAATCCTTTGTGTATCTCATTCTCCTCAGTTACTGACAGGTTAAACGCGAGTCCTTTGTGAATCTGACTTTGGGTTTCCGACTTGGCACCCAGGGTCAGCAGTGCAAAAGCTGCAGAGATGCTGATTGGGGAGAAGAAAATGTTCCTTGAACCCACGCCTGAAGCTATGTTCCTGTAGAATGTGAATGCAAAGTCAGAGTTACTGGGACCTATCTTAAGATAGCTGGAGGAATCCTGTCTCTGTTCTTCTGAAGAAAGATGTGGATGTTCCAGTAATGTCTTGTCTCCTTGGCTAGCCTGGTCATCGTTGTGTCCTGGGAGTTGATGGCACTGGACTTCAAGACTAATCAGTAACAAGGAGAGGGTGATGACCAGCTTCATTTGGGATTTGCAATTCTTCTGCTGATAATTCCCACACAAGATGTTAAAGGATCAATCCAAAAATGCATGTGTACTCTGCAACAAAGGCGAATTCTGCCCTAGACCTATACATTTATACAACAGAAATAATTCACCTTTCCTGTGAGTGGCGTAAGAAAGAATGTTGTTAGTTTCACTAAATTACATACAGAATAGAGTTTTGATAGAAAATGGTTTCCACATTTGTGTTTTTCAGTGTTTCAATGGTTTGTTTTTTAAAGAAGTTTATTATTTAAAAATAAAGCTGGCACATTTTAACCATGGAATATTTCTTTGTGATACTCTCAAGTTTTCACACTTTTCGGAATTTAACATAGTAATATTAATTTTTACAACTATGTATCTATATCTATATATGCCTGTATCTATGTATATAGTTATTTTCACATATCATTTTGAAATCAACTTTTGAATAGCAAAGACTATTTCATTTTCATTCTGATGCTTACCTGAGAATCCTAACTGACCCCCTTTAGGCAACTTTGGTTTATCCCTGCTTTGTCATAAAATTAATGAAATTCTGCCATCAACTTGAATGGGAATAGCACTGTGCCAGTAGTTCCAGTCATTTATGCAGCCAGCCACACACAGAAACAAAGAAATTCTTCATATTCTTAGATGCTGGCCCGAACATGCAGGCACTTGTTTAAGAAGTGTGCAGTGGTACCCTTTCCTTTTACATAGCAGAGGAAGATTCTGGCATCTGCCATGTCCATGTGCTTTATGGTGCAGAAGTGACTCTACTGGGCTGCTCTGTACCACCTGTCGTGGAACTTCTGAGCTTTCGTTTTGATGAACCCGTCATGTAATGGGAGTGGGTGAGATTTCATGCTACCATAACAAGTTGCTGCATCTGAGATTAATCTCCACTTAGAATATAGCCACTGATCTAGCCTATAAATCCCAATCTGTCTGAACATTAAACAGAGATTGATTTAGTTCTGCATGGATGTTAACCCAGAAAAGGAAAGGAAATAAACACTGGATATCATAAGCTATGCCAAAACAAGCTAGAGAGAGGAGTGAAAAAGAATGTATAGCTTACTTACAGTTCACCAAAAGAATATTGCAGCACCCTTCTGCACTACGATCCTCTTAAACCTGTGATTTATATACCAGGCTTGTACACAGTATTCATTATTAACCATTAAGCAGAGCAAATATGGGTTGCCAAAGGGAGTCGGGTACAAAATGTGATGCAAGGGATTTGTAGTTTCCGCCCGACCTTTGTGCAATGGTACTACAGGTTGATAAAGAGCTGGATTTTAAATAAATAAGCATGAACTTCCCTGACCAAAGCGTTTCTGAGTAGTCCAAGCTCATATTGCGGCCATTTATTGAGGCACCCACCACTGCTTGCTCAGAGGCACAGATACCTGACTATATTCCTGGACTAGATGGGCCTCATGGTTCCTTCCAACTCTACAATTCTATGATTCTATGTGCAGAGCCTCAGTTATTGGGTGATCTAAAAATACTATAAATAAGGAATACCATATTGCACCAGTCTGAATCTCCTCCACTTATAACAATGCCTCAGGAAAGGCAGATTCCCATTCCTCCTCTTCCTTGACAGAGCAGCTAACTAAATGATAACAGTATGGGAGCAGAAAATGAAAGGGTTAAAGAGAGCAGGGGTATCTGGAATAATGAACTAAGGGGGAGAGAGAGAGATGTGCAAAGACTCCGTAGAGAAGGTGACAAAGTGAGAAACAGGAAAGGGGAAGATGGGAATAAACACTGAGAGGGAGGAGTCAGGGGAGAGCCCATGGGCTATGGCAGATAGGGGAAGACCTTTCTCAGCTCATGGGTCACATTTCCTTATGGGCAACCTACAGGGATCACATGCCAGCCGCGGGTTGGACAAAAGTGGGTGGAGTAACAAACATGCCTCTGATCTTTCTACAGTAGGTTACATTCAGTCAAGAGGTTTCTCTATGTGCATGTCTGCATCTCTCCATCCTCCACCTAGGGAAGAAAGAAAAGCAAATGAGAATTCCTAGATGCCTAGAATTTGTATCTTTAGGTCTAGAATTTATATCTCCAGATTTAAAGAAAAAGAGAGGCATTGTAATATGTGTCAACCCAAAATTTGAAGCAAAACAATTTTTTGAGGGCAATGAAGGTAGAATTCTGGGTATACAAGTGGGGAAAGGTAACAAAAAATTTGTGATAACAGGAATTTATGCTCCAAATGGGAATAAGACAGAGTTCTTCAAGGTAGTGGAAGACAAGTTGTTAGAATTTATAAATGAGGAGATTATATTGCTAGGAGACTTAAATGGAGTTACCTCTTTGGAATTTGATCATACAGACTCAGGAGGTAGACCAAGAGGAAGACTCTCCCCTACTTTTTTTAGTATGGTGGAGAGTTTGAAGGATGTGCAGCGTTACAAGCACCCTATAGAGAAAAAAATTACCCATCATTCCCAAGCAAAAAAGACAGCGGGCAGGACTGATGGAATATGGATAACTAACAATCTACTACTGAAGGTAAAAAAAATCAGATATTATATTTAGATCGATAACTGTTCACAACTTGGTTACAGTAGAACTAAGAAACAGGAGAAGGGTAAACTAAAGATGGAGAATGAATGAGAAAATCCTAAACGATGCCATTTTTTTAGCCAAAGCACAAGATTTATCGTATTTTCTGCCCTATAGGACGCACTTATCCCCTCCAAAAATGAAGGGGAAATGTGTGTGCGTCCTATGGAGCTCCAGGAGCGTTCCAGGAGCTCCAGACCCATTCTGGGGGCTGGGGTCGGGGGAAGCTTGGGCTTCCCCCGGCCCCAGCCTGGCAAGCTCCGGGAGTGAAGGCAAGGTTGCGTGCAACCTCACCGCCGCTCCCGGACCCATTCTGGGGTCAGGGGAAGCTTGGGCTTCCCCTACCCCAGCCCCATGGTAAAAATGAAGCCACGACAGCTAGTGGGATCCATCCTGCTCACTGTCTTGGCTTCTGCCTTCTCCCGGCTGGAGAGGTTGTGCGCAGCTAAAGAGGAAGCCAAGACAGCCAGCGGGATGGATCCCGCTCACTGTCTTGGCTTCTTTGCTCTTTGGGGATGGGGGGGGAAATAATTTTTTTCCTTTATTCCCCCCCCCCTAAAAACTAGGTGTGCCCTATGGTCCGGTGCATCCTATGGAGCGAAAAAATATGGTACTTACGGAATTCTTCCAAAATAACAAGGTGCAGGATACGGATATTAGGGTAATATGGGATGTGAGTAAAGCTTTTTTAAGAGGCTTTTATATTCAACAATCAATTCAAAAAAAGAATAGGGAAGCAAAGATGGATAAAATTAAAAAGGAAATTGAAGAAAATGAAAAAGTACTAGCCAAACATCCTAAAAATGAGAAAGCAAGGAAAAATTGTAAGCTATTACAAAATCATTTGTCAGCATTAGTTAATCAGGAGATAGAAAATAACTTAAGGTGGATGAAACAGAGGTATTTTGAGTCAGCAAATAAAACTGGGAAATTACTGGCATGGCAACTGAAGAAAAGGCAGAAAGATCTACTAATAGAATAATGGATGAAGGGAAGATCATAGATAAAACAAAAGAAATCACCAAGAGGTTTGTTAAATATTTCAAAAAAATATACGAAAAGGGTAATGAAAAGGAGGAGGAGATAGCAGAGTACTTACAAAGCAGATCTCTACCCAGAATATCGGATGAAAAAATGTATATGCTAAACTCCCTGGTTACTATGATTATTGAAAATAATAAAAATTAATAATAATAAAAAGAGAAAGAGAGAGAATTCCTAGATGCCAAGATCCAAGTTTGGGGCAAATGCTCTTTAGTGAGAAAACTCCCACAGAGATTTAAAATCACAAAACATTCAGCTAATTAAAGAGTGGAAGTATAGGCTGTTATTGTTGGGATACTGCCAGGGAGACAAAGTCCATCATGGCCCCCAAGCAGCCTCCGGACGTCCATCGATCTCCCGTAGACACGCAGTATCATTCAATTAGCGACACGAGCTTCCAGAAATAGCTTGCCACATTCCAGAGCTCATGCACGCTCTATCAGCAGATAATGCACAGCGAAAGATGCACGCAGGAGAGCATTATTTACAAGTTTATTCAGCGTTGGTCAGAACAAAGAAAACATGACTGCCAGCTTCAGTGTCTCAGACACAGAGAGAGAACGAAAGCAAAGACACAACAGAAACATCCTGTGAACAGGAAATATGCAGGCTGTGACACAAACATCCTGCTCCCTTTTAAGGTGGAATGGAAATATCCTAACATCCTCCCCCTTTCCGTGTAACCTGTAGTACCTGTGGTTCAACCCAATTGCAACCTCTGTACATAAACCTTAAGTTGTTCTCTGTTAACAACCTTAGACAACAGATCAGCAGGAATTTCATTACCTGCCATGTAGGACACCTGAATAAATCCTTTCTGAATACACTCTCTTGCACGATGTAACTTAATCTGCAAGTACTTGGTTCTTTGCTTGCAACTCTCTGAGTTCAGCAAAGCCAAACAGGATCTATTGTCTTGATACACCTGTATAGGACATTTCACAGAAACTCTGATGTCCTTAAACAGTTGCATCAACCATTCACAATCCATGAGTGAAAATGACAGAGCATTGAGTTCTGCTTCACAGGAACTTAGGCTTACTGTTGTCTGCTTCTTGCACAGCCAGTCAAACAGACAGTGGTTGTACATGTAGCATACTCCAGAAGTGCTTGTACCATCCATGGTGTCACTTCCAAAACTAGCATCTGCAAAGATTTCAAGACCTCCAGTCTTCTGACTGTTGAACCTCAGCCTGTAGTGCATAGTCCCTTTCAAATAGCGGGCTATGCACTTCAGAGCTTTCCAATCCTGAACAGTAGGATTGTTGGCATGTCTGCTAAGCAGGTTAGTGCTTACAGCTATGTCAGGTCTTGAGCATCTAGCAATGAAATTCAACTTGCCTAGAATGCATCTGTACAGCGTAGTGTCAGAAAACGCTTCAGCAGTACTATCTACCTGGTAACCTGTCACCATCGGTGTGTCTGCTGGGTTTGCATCAACCAAATTCAAGCTAGTTAGACTTCCGGGGTGGCGCCATCGCTAATGGCGGATTCCCTCTGACTCGGAGGGACTGGCTCCACGGAAAACGGGTCTTTCCCGCTACGGCGAAGCGGGGACCCTTTGAAAAATCACAGGCGGATGAAGCCTGTGACCATGGGACTCGGCGGGCACCTTTCGCGCCCCCCCCAACTCGTAAAGGAACCCAGTTACGGGCTCCGGAGCGAAGATGGGCAAGTGGCGCGGTGCTGAGAGTCAACTGCTTCTTCTGTGGAGCGAAGCCACACAGCCGTTGCCGGAGAGCGCTGCCTTTTTCCTGGGACAATTTGGCTACTAAAACAACTACCCGTGAGTAGCTTAAATTCGGACAATTGGACTTTAAACAAAGTCTTGTGAGTAGAAAGGAAAATTGGACTAAGAAATTTTTTTTTATTTGGCACTGAAACGGGAAGGTCTAAACAGGAAGTCAGCCTTCCGTTTCTTGTAGATAGATTAAAGCAAAGACATGGCAAACTAGAGTTCAGAAAATCATTTCTAAAGGATTAACTTTCATCATTTAAAATTGTTGAACCCCCTTCGGAAGCAGGAGAAGAGGGGGGATCTTTTCCGGACTGTTTAAACCGGCAGAAGAGAGTGTAAAGAAAAGTAATTTTCCACCGTCTTGAACCTGGGAGCGGGGTGTCAGGACTGACGTTTTTGGGAAGTTCATTGGCTATAGACAAACGTCTTTGATAGACAGTTAAAAGAAGAGAAACATAGTGATTCCATTGTTCTCCTTCACATTTTAAAGGAACAAATATTGACAAAATATCTGGAAAAGGAAACCTTGTTGTTAGATCTGCTTTTAAAAGAAAAAAAGAGAAAGGAGATGGATACAAATAGAAGTTCCTCCCCTAGAGGGAGCCTGTGAAACTGTTACTAAATTTGAACTGGGGAGCTCTGCAGCTGCAACAAATTAAGATCGTGGGAATAGACTTCTGACCTTGTATAACAATGTATTCAGAAGCCCTGGTGCGTGCTTTCTGCAAAACAAGTGCCCTACTGGAACAGTTACATGAGAAGACGGACTTGATGACTGTTGCGAGCAGAAATTTTGGACAGGTAGTGAGTAACTATATAGAACCCACCCAGGAACCAACTCAGGAGTGTGCTCTGACAGACCAGATGAGGGAGGAGGATGTTGCTGGACCTTGGGTGGCAGAGATGGAGGGAGTTGTGGCCCAGCAGGAACATGAGTTGTTGGATTTTACAAATGAACTTGGAAAAAGCCAGATTTGGAGAGATAGAGTTTTGTTTGGTTTGGAAATGGGGGCTTGGATAGACCCCCCTATGCAGGGATGTTTTGACTCTTCAAGTCTGGCAATGGGCCGTGAGATGTTTGGGGGTGTGGGGGTTCTTAACTCTGGAGGGACTTTGAAACATGTTTTTAAATACCACATGGAGTTTAGTGTGGACTATGGAAAGGGGGCTGATCTGTCGAGAAGGGACAAAAATACTGTCAAGTTGGAGTTTCCACGAGTGAAAGGAGCAGGAGACAAAGTCAAGTACAGGTATAAATATGAAGAAGATCTGCGGAAGGGACATGGAAGAGACTTAAGGGCCTTGGACATAAGATTACCAGGTTAAGGTTAATGAGCTAGATGGATGGGATAGAAAGGACTGACAAAACCCGGGACCAGGAGGAAGAGACGTTGGATGAAGATTGGAAGAAAGTTTCAAAAATTTTATTAGGATTGTTTTATAAAATTGATGAATGTTAGAAAAATGTTGGAACGAAACTATTTGGCTTTAGCAGAAATGTTAAAAGAATTATGTAAGAATATGTTATGGTTATGAGAAATTGGTATAAATAGAATCTAAGCTTTAAGTTTTAGGGTTTTTTATAGTAAGATAAGGTTAAAATAGATTAAGGTAATTTAATGACAGAATACTATGAAAAATGGAAAGGATTTGCTGTGATAATTAACAAATAGAATACAAAAAAGGGGAGGAGTGAGGAGGTCGATGAAATAAGGTAAGGACAGTTAAGGATTTAGGAATATTGGATTTGTTTTTAAATTTTTGTGGTTTATTTTTGCTTTTTTGATTGTAATGTGTTACGTGTTTTGTTGTTGTTTTTCGATTTTGATTTTTATCAATTTGTATTGTTTGATTGTGGTTTGTTTTTTTTTCTTTTCTCTTTCTTCTTTTTCTTTTTGCTTTTCCTGTAATTTTAAAATTCTTAATAAATATCATTTAAAAAAAACAACACAAATTCAACCTGGTTAATACATCAGCAATTTTATGTGTTTGGTGTACCAGAAAATTACCTGCTTGGTCCCTCTCCACCTGCAGAGAAAGATAGTTGGATACCTCACCAAGATCCTTCATGTCAAAGTGCTCCTTCAGCTGAGCTAGGGTGCTTTGGTACAAAGCCTGATTCTTCCAAAACATCAGAAGATCATCAACAAAACATAAACAATACAGTTTGTTTTGCCCCTCCTCCTTGACAAACACACATGGATCAGCCTTGCCCTGGTGAAAACCTAGAGAAAGCAATGTCTCAGTGAGCTTTGTGTTCCAACACCTGGCACTCTGCTTGAGACCATATAAGGATTTCCGCAGTTTACAGACCATTCCCTTCTGTATCTGCATCCCATCAGGTGGAAGCATAAACAGCTCCTCCTCCAAAATCCCATACAAAAAAGCTGTATTAATGTCATGATGGGAAACATGCAGTTTCTCCTCCGCAGCAATCTTGAGCATCAGCCGAATGCTCTCATATTTAACAGTGGGTGAGTAGGTCTCGTGGTAATCCTGTCCTGGTACCTGTGAAAAACCTCTGGCAACCAATCTGGCTTTGTGTCTGACAACCTTGCCATTCTGGTCTGTCTTGGCCTTGAAGACCCATTTGCTGCCAACCAGTCTCATTCCTGGGACTACCGGTACCAGTTCCCAAGTTTGGTTCCTGTTCAAGGAATCAACTTCAGCCTTCATGGCATCAAGCCAAGGCTCAGCATCTTTAGAGGTTAACTCCTGAACCTCTTTGAAGCTTGAAGGTTCCCACACCTTCTCTGAGCTACTAAGAACAGCGTTGCCGTCTTAGCAAACTCATCAGCAAATCTCTTTGGAGGTTTGCCCTTCGTGGCTCTCTCAGATCTGTGTATTAGACGCAAGTCTTCTGGACTCATCTCCTCTTTCTTAGGAGAAAAGTGACCAATGGTGAACAGTGGTTCTTCCAGTTCATTGTCAGACGCATCAGATGGTCTGACTGAGGCCTTTGCGCTCTTGTAGTCTGCTGTGTCATCACTGTCACCGACATCAGCAGCAGCGCCGCCCACTGAACTGGAATCCGAACTCTGATCATCATCGTCATCATCATCCTCAGCAGCTTCCTCAGCTTTAGCTGCTTCTTTGACATCACCTTCGTCCTCCTCTGGGTAACTCTGGAAAATTCCCACATTTCCCCCCCACTTAGGATTGTATTCAACACTCTTTGTGAACTTAATGGACTTAGAGTTGGTCATCCATACCCTGTATGCACCTTTTTCGTACCCCATGAACAAACCATGTGCCCCACGCTTCCCAAGCTTGTTGCTCTGTGGGGTGTGTACCCACATGTCAGAACCAAAGATTCTCATGTGCTTGATGTTGGGTTTCTTACCAAACATCTTCTCATAGGGGGTACAACCAATAGGTGATGACAATCTGCGATTATAAGTGTAAGCAAAATTCGACAGAGCCTCCCCCAAAACTTATCAGGGAGATTGGCATCATGCAACAATGTTTTCATTCCTTGCAGCAACGTTTGATTTGCTCGCTCCGCAAGCCCATTCATCCATGGCGATCTAGGCATTGACAAGTCATGCTGGATTCCCTTCTCAGTCAGTAAAGCTTCAAACTGCTGAGAAGTGAGCTCCCCGCCCCGATAAGTAAACAGACAGCCAATACGTTTACTGTGAACATTCTCCAACCAAGCACAGAATGCCTTGAACCTCGGAAACGCTTGCAATTTCTGCTCCAGCATAAACACATGAATGTAACTGGAAAAAGAATCAATTAGAACCATGAAGTACCTTGCTCCACCCAAAGAGGGCGCAAGTGGACCAACCAGGTCTGCGTGCACTAGCTGGTAGGGTTTGGAAGCCTGCCTGCTAGACTCCTTGCCTTTTGGAGCAACCTTCACCTTGTTCTCTGCACAAGATACACATTTCATGTGAAACTTACAGGGTTTGATGTTCAAACCCTCAACCATCTCTGGCATCTTGGCCAGTGCCTTCCAAGAGAGGTGACAAAACCTCCTGTGTGCATTGTGAATGCATCCTGCATGAAGAACTTTGTTAGTTTGTGCAACATAACAAGAATCAACATTAGACACAACAGCACCAATGTCATCATAAGTTATACAGAACAAGCCATCCATAAACTTTGCATGCAAAATGTCCTCTTTGCCTTTTCTGATGACACAGACGCTCCTCTTGAAGGAAATCTCAAAACCACGCCCAGTCAGCTGTGGGACACTGAGCAAATTGTCTGCAGCACCTGGAACATACAGTACATCTTTGATGGTAGTGTGCAGACTTGCCAGTTTCACAGTCCCTTCTCCTGCAATTCGCAACGTCTTTCCATCAGCCAGGTGGATCTCACCTTCTTGAGGTTTGAAGGAGATAAATAGGTGGCGGTCCTTTGAGACATGGCGGGTACAGCCTGAATCAACAACAAACCTGGCTTTGGCCTTTGGAGCAGCCTTTGCAGCAAGCAAAACCTCGTTTTTCACAGGCGTGGGCTTTTGCAGCTTGCCCCCCTGCTCCTGGCCATCAGACTTGCCTTTAGCCTTTGGTGAAGCTGTGCCAGCAAACAAAGCCTTGTTTTTCCCTGGCTTGGGCTTTCCACCCCCCCTCTGCTTCTTGCCATCTGCTGGCTTCTTCCTTTGTTTATTTCCAGTCTTTGGACAAAACTTCTGAGTGTGACCTTGGGTCCCACAGTTCCAGCACTTCACAGCTGCCAACGCTTTGGCTCCCCCTGGAGGCTGGAATGCTGTCCCATATTGCTCCCCCTGGAGCGCACAAGCCGACTCAGCTGCATTCCTTCTATCGTATTCGTTTTGCAAAGTCGCCAAGACCTTTGTAGCAGTGAGGTCTTGCGCAGGGAGGGTTGCCAGCTGACTTGCCACGGCATGGTAGCTTTCATTCAGGGAGTCCAGGATGAGAATTGCAAACAGTGACTCAGGCATATTGAAACCTCTCTGAGTCAATTCCTGTCTGAGATGCTGCAAATGTAAAACGTGGGCTCTAAGGTCTTCCCCTGGCTCCAAACGCTTCCTGTGCAGCTTTCTGAAATAAAGCAACACAGACCCAGCCTCTTGTGGGAGATGACAGGCTCTAAGCCCGTCCCACATCTCACGGGCACTGGCCTTGCCAGCCAGGGTGATTAACTCTTCAGGAGCTACTGAGAGCAAAATTATCCCCATGGCTCTTGAGTCCTGTGCTGTCCATTCATCTGTCACAGGGGCTGGGGGGTCCTCAGAAACGGTATTCCACACTCCAAGCTTTCTCATCTGGCCCTCACAGTACCTTGCCCAGGTCTGATAGTTGTGGCCATTTAGCTTTGGTGGAGACGGAGCAGCTTCTGAGGATTGTAAAAGATCCATCTCAGCCTTTTACTTGCGCTGTGAGTCTTATTCACTTCAAAGACCCCTTATCTCGGCTCCCATTAATCACGAAGCCTTTGGCGCGGCTCCCAGATCCAATTAGGCCAGCCGGACTCAAAGACTCTTCCAAGGCATCAGAAAAGCCTTACTTTCGCTATTCTTCCACATACCTTTCAGCAGTCTGTCGCAGTCTTACTCTCCTGTAAGTGCTGTGAATCTGGGCCCATAACCTGTTGTTGGGATACTGCCAGGGAGATAAAGTCCATCAAGGCCCCCAAGCCGTCTGCCGGACGATCCATCGACCTCCCGTAGGCACGCAGCGACATGAGTTTCTAGAAAATATCTTGCCACATTCCAGAGCTCATGCACACTCTATCAGCAGATAATGCACAGCCAAATGTTGCACTCAGGAGAGCATTATTTACAAGTTTATTCAGCGTTGATCAGAACACAGAAAAACATGACTGCCTGCTTTAGTGTCTACGACACAGAGAGAGAAAACGAAAGCAATAGAAAACATAAAAATCCTGTGAACAGGAAATACGCAGACTCTGTGACTCACAGCCTGCTCCCTTTTAAGGTGGAACGGAAATATCCTAACAATCTGATCAGCCAATGCCAAGTGACGGTCCTCCCAAGGGAAATGTGACACACAGAAAGCCAGAGACAGATTTAAGTGTCTTTGAAGAAGACCCCCCGATGGTCCCAGCAATTCACATAACACCGTCGATGCCGGGAAATTGGGAAAATGCTGCAACTCAACCCCGAGAACAACACCTTGCATATCCTAAAAACGGTTGCATCACTACCAAACCAGTGGGAGAGCTGATAACAATTCCCCCCCCAACACACAATGAAGCCAAGCCAGTTATGGAACGTGCAGCCTTAACATTATCTCGTGGTACATAGCGGGTTGGGCCAACAAACTAGGGGACGAGCCATTTTGTGAATATATAATGTGTTTTGACATAATAATGCTACAGGAAACTTGGGCAACTGACAACATAGTTCTCGACGGTTACCACGCCTATGAAATCAAGGCCTCTAAACTGCTCGGAAGGGGACGACCGAGGGGGGGCCTAGTAACTCTGGTTTCCACTCAATTGGCGTCACATGTTACTGAGTGCTCAGTTTTTGAGCAGTTGGCACTGGGGATCACTTTGCATCTGGAATCCAAGAGTATCATTCTTGTTTCAGCTTATATCCCACCATATACAGTGCAAACACAGATCGAGACAACATGGCGTAAATTCCATAGTTTCCTTTATTCCCTACAAATTAAGTACCCGGATCGCCTTTTTACCTAATGGGAGATATGAATGCCAGAATAGGCTCAAATGATGATAGCCTGGAAATAAAATTCCCAATATTAAGAGATCTAAAGGAAAATAGCGCCCTCTTTCTAAACCCACCCCTCGTAGACATTTGAAAGATTGTCAGATCAACTATGCTGGCTTCTGCCTGGCTTTTTACAAATAAGTCTTGACCTTATCATTGCTAATGGGCGCTCCCGGGGACAGAGAAGGCGAGTACACATTCATAAATACAAATGGAGCCAGCATAGTAGACTACTGTCTCACTAACAGGGAGGCCTTCAAATCAATTAAAAAATTCAACATAGATAATAGGACCGAAAGCGACCACCTACCTCTAATTGTCTCCACTACTGGCCAAAATTCAGTTCAGCGCTCTTACATAGAACATGAGGAAATAGATAAAGCAAAAGATCCAGCACTGTGTGGAGAAAAAAATGGACACCTGAGACAGCAATTGCAGTTGAGAATAGATTGAATTCACAAACTGCAATTAAGTTAAGATCAATTATAATAAACAATTTATCAATAGATTCCTCCCTGACGGCTTACAAAAATCTCATTGAGTCCTTGCAGGATGTGGTCTCCGTCAACATAAACTCAGCCGGCAAGCCACGCACTGCTAAAGGACGCTGTTGGTTTGACCAAGAGTGCCGCACAAAGAAGGAAGCCTTAAGGAACGCTTATTTGGCCTATAGAAACGCTGGACTAAATTACTTACCTACATCTTATTTCAAAATCAAAAAAGAGTATAAAGCCCTTTTGGCCTCAAAAAAAAAGGCAGTCCGAACAAAATTCCAGGTCCCTGCTATTGAATGCCTCACTAAACAATGAAACTAAACTCTTTTGGCAACTGGTCTCGGACTCAATGAAAAATAGTTCTTCAGCCCCCAGCTGTGCCATTCCAGCTCAGGTTTGGGAAAACCACTTCAGAAATATATTTATGGAAAATCCAAACCTCCCTTCCAGCTTCCAGGATGATGACAGGGCAGAATTGCCACTGCTCCCTCATTGGAGGCCGGATACTGTGGAGGAAGTCCATAAATTAATTGGGAATCTGAAGAGTGGAAAGACTCTGGGGAAAGATTTTATCCCAGCGGAACTGATTACATCAAACCAGCACTGGTGGGCTCCGCTTCTGGCAGCACTTTTTACGGTAGTAAATAACTCGGGTAAAGTACCATATAGCTGGAAACATGCTATAGTAGTCCCAATCTTTAAGAGAGGTCACCCAAATGTATCCTCCAATTATAGGCCAATTAGCCTGCTTTCAAGAATTGGGAAGCTGTATGTCCGATGCCTCAGCAGGAAACTGACAACTTTTCTAAATGAACATAATATAGTATCTGAAGCCCAGGCAGCCTTTCGTGAGAACCATTCAACATCAGACCACTGTCTAATGCTCTCCTTCCTAGCCGAGAAGTATACCAGGCCTCTACAGGGTAAGCTCTTCATGGCTTCCATGTATCTGAAATCAGTGTTTGACTCCATCCCCAGATCCCAGCTATGGTCCAAATTAAATCTGATTTTGCAGGACAAATGACTTCTCTTTCTTATAAAAGCCCTGTACAATGGAACCAAACTGCAGGTCTGATGCGGTTGGCATGGACAGTTATCAGTTATCAAACAGTATCCAGATGACTAGGGGGGTGAGACAGGGATGCATTTTGGCCCCCACATTGTTTTGTCTATTCTTAAATGACCTAGAAGAGAGCTTAATGGACCCAGATGTACACCTTCCAAAACTAGGAATGAGAAGGACCCCCTTGTTGTTATATGTAGATGACGCGGCCATCATCTCATGTTCCAGACTGGGTTTGAAATATCTGCTCAGGAAATTTTCTGATTACTGTTCTGGAAATGGTTTATCCATTAATTATGAAAAATCTAAAATTTTAGTTTTCGAAAGAAGCTTCTCGCAGTCTAAATGGGTGCTGGATGGCCATAACCTTGAAAAGATCAAATACTTCAGTTTTCTAGGGCTCACATTCCATCATACAGGATCTTGGAAGCACCACTGGCAAACCTCCCTTCAAAAGGCGGAGATCACAAAGCCAGCCATACTCAGATTCTTTTTCACAAAGGACGGCAAATATGTTCCAGCAGCCTTAAGGGTTTTCAATGCAAAACCCGTTTCCCAACTCCTGTACGCTGCAAATGTCTGGCATAATGGGGACCTGCCAAAGTTAGATGGCTTTCAGGCAAAATTTCTACGATCTCTGCTGCAGGTACCCAACTCCATACTTCTGTTAGAAGCTGGTGAATGCCCAATTTCAACTAAAGCGTGGTGGGCTGCCCTAAAACATTGGCTCAGGATTTCAGTGTTTGATCTAGGGAAGGGTTTGTACCAACACCTGACCAATGAGGAATTTGTCAGCAAATGGCAGAAAACTATGGCTAAAAAAGCCACCTCTATTGGTCTGTCACCCCCTCCCAACTGTATTACCTGAGTTATGAAGGCGCCCTAAAGACGTTAAAGCAAAGATTATGGGATAATGCACACAGTGACTTGCGATCTCGATCACACGCATTCTTTAGTCTGCTGGCAGTAGGAGTACAATATGGGCATGTCTTTAAGTTAACTTCTTTCATTGGGGACTTCCGGGGTGGCGCCATCGGTAATGGCAGATTCCCTCTGACTTGGAGGGGACCAGCTCTGCGGGAATCGGGCCTGTACCGCTACGGTGAAGCGGGGACCCTTTAAAAATCACAGGCGGGTGAAGCCTGTGACCGTGTGACTCAGCGGGCACCTTTTGCGCCCCCCAACTTGCAAAGGAGCCCGATTACGGGTTCCGGAGCGGAGAGGGGGAAGCGGCGAGGTGCTGTGAGTCAACTGCTTCTTCCGTGGAGCGAAGCCGCACAGCCGTTACCGGAGAGCGCTGCCTTTTTCCTGGGACAATTTGGCTACAAAACAACTATCCGTGAGTAGGCTAATTTGGGAAACAAAGGAACAAAGAAGTAATTTGATACCGAAGCGGAGAGGCATAAACAGGAAGTCTGCCTTCCGTTCTTTGTAAATAGAGTAAAGCAATGAACTTGAAAGACGTTTGAAATGGACTATAATTCTAACATCAAATAAGCGATTTTCCCCCTTGAGTGCAGGAGAGGAGGGGGGAAAGGTCTGAACTGTATTTCCCTGCAAAAAGAGAGAAAAGGAAGCTAAAATCCCCCGTTAAAACCTGGGAACGGGTTGCCAGTGAACAACAAGAATGCCGTACTGTGAAATGCGCTGTTGGTGAAAGTACTCTTTGACAGCTAACTCTGCAAGTGAGATACAAGTGAGATACAATATTTCTGGCTGGCTTCTCCTGGTTTTAAAGTAACTGGAAAACAACTGAAATTGAAACTGTCGTCTTTTTTGTGAATTGGGGGATTAAAAGAAAAAAGGTTAATTATTTTAAGGCAACAATTCCTGACTGCTACTGTGTCCCCCTAGAGGAAGTTTGAAATTGTTACAATAACAGCTGGGCCAGGGGAATTTTCCACTTCAAAACAAATTCTGATCATGAGATTGACCTTGGGCCTTATCTAGAGTGTTATGGCAGATGGAAAGGAGAAAATAGATTTGCTTCAGGAAAAAGCAACGAGGTCTGGTAGATTATTTCGTACAGACGTTGGGTTGCAGCGAAGAGCATCAACTTCTGGTCCTTCTGGACTACCAACAGGAGCTGCATTGGTACAATCTAAACCCAAAGGAATGGCATCTGAAGATGTTTTGGCTCAGGCATTAGGTAAAATTAATGAATCTTTGGAAAGAATAAGTAAACAAGTAGCTGAAGCATCAGTTAAAATTGATCAAAATACCACAAGTATTAACAATTTGTGACAGAAGGTAAATACTAACACAGAAACTATTGAGAAATTACTACTGGAATCTACCTCGACCCGAAAGACAGCTGAAGAAGCAAAGGAAATAGCAACTGCTGTAGAAGAGAAGATACCACCGCTACACAAACAACTTGAAGACCACAGGTCAATATTGTCTATGACTGAACTGAAGGAGAAGCAAATGAATTTGAGGATCAGGGCTGTACCTGAACTTGAGAAAGACAATCTGACTGACTTTCTTACGCAGGAATTTGCAGACTTTTGGAACCCGGATTTGGAGAAGGAAAACTTTAAGATAGTGAGTGCCTTTAGGCTTGGAAGAGGAGGGAAGAAGAACAGGGTGAGAGACTGTTTGATCATCCTCCGAACAAAAGAGGAGAGAGATAAAATCTTGAGTCTGCATTTCCAGAAGACTTTGGAAATACATCAGTCAAAAGTGGAGATATTTAAGGACATTCCGAAATATCTTGTGGACCTTAGGTCCAATTATAGAGATTTGGTCGCCCTGTTGAGAAGCAACGGAATCATCTTTAGGTGGGAATTCCCCCAAGGCCTATCCTTTAGCTACAAAGGGAGAAAGATAAAAATAAGATCAGAGGACGACAAAGAAAGATTTTTGAGAGACCACGGAGAAGACCTGCAGAAAGAAGCTGGAGAAGAGTCAAGAACACTAGAAAGAGGAATTTTAGACATACCAAGACTACCTTTTGAATTAAAAGACCGCCTGGATAAGGTGATACCACCGACAGAACAGGAACAGGCACTTGG